AAATGCAAACATCGTCCTTACGGAACAAAGCGATAAATAACAAAAACCCACATGGAATGACCGACCAGGATGTAATCACTCATACAATTCACGACGAAGTAAAATAAGAAGTTCAGTTGCAACTGAGTTAATTAGGACTACGTAAACAAAATAAATTTGATCTCACTAAAAAAAAGAAACTACCAACATACAATTCCATCGACACAAAACATACACGATACATGCATCAGGTGTTAAAATGATGTTAGCTAAACAAGTTGACAGTATTAAAAATAAGATCGATGACTTTCAGGAACGCTTAAATGACAGCAAAGATAAGAAACGACAAAAGTTTCAGAGAAGTCTCCAGTGAATGATATAACTAAAAATTGAAAATGTTTCAAGATTCTGAAAAAAGCGAACCAATGGAAAAAACGGAGATAATTAACGCCTTAATTCGCCAATTCAAAGAAGATGTTTTTTGTCGAACACTGCGAAAATCACTTTGGATCGCAAATTCATTGTAAAAAAGTTGGTTCTAACGCTTTTTTTGAATGTCAAATAACTGAAGCTGAAATTTGGGTAAAGAAACGTGGTCATGAAAAAAGTAGAAATTTCGTCAAACCACCAATAAACTAAATTAATCACCATGCAAGTGAAAATTAGAAAAAGTCTTAAAAAGTGAAAAACAACCTATTTTATTTTTTATCATTTATAACATTCTATAGATACTCAAATATTCACTATTAGATTGAATTGTTTTTGCCCTCAAGTAATAGATTTTATCACATTAATGTGTTTCTCAACATAATGCTGATAAATTTCATAATATCTTGTAAACACAAGTGGTACCTACTACAATTTTTTCTCGAAATAATTCACAGCGTACAATTTCAATAGAATATGTTTAACTCTGCAGAGAAATCGAATATGATTACGCAAGAAATAAAACAAAATATGAGTAGGTATATATATCCAGAAGCCTTAAAATTTTCGTTAGACGGTTTAGAAGATTTAACGAAAATATTTGGAACAATAATTAAGAAAATTCTTGTTTGCCAAATTAGTGATTTGCTCCACCAAGTGGTTTAATTTTAAGGTACTTAAATCAGCAATTCTGGCTATGTATAGTTCGTTTTGTTGTTGACAATTCTGGGAGTGGAGAATTTGTGGGTGAAATTTTTGGTGATTTGTTGGACATTGCGACGTGTTTATTACAGTAAACACAAATCAAAGAAAGTTAACTAACTTAACGTGGTGTGTTACAGAGGCCAGTGTTACGAGCTTTGCAGCTCTACTGATATATAAACGATTTTTTTGACTTAATGAACAACAAGTTGTATCATGGATTTGCAGGCGACTCAATTTTCCTACATATCTCAAATAAAGGTGAAAATTTTCGCAACCTTTCAATGATTCCAAAGTAAGTAGTAAACAAGGACGAGTACATTTTAGGAATTATTAGCTCTCAATCAATGACTGTCGAAACTAATATATGAGGCAAGCTGTACAGAGTTGCCATTTACTACGGCTTTTTAATATGGACACATAATAATTGTTGTTTTAATAGAACTAAAATTTTCAAACGGTACCGTCTATGTATATTTATAGCTGAATAGTCCACAATGAGATATACATGATGATGACACTAGAACCATAAATGATGTTTTAAACTTTGGACGATTACGAAAAAGTGAAATATAATAAGTATATATAATTCCGTCCTTCTCAAAGTGACTATGGTTTCATAAGTTTAAAATGTAGAAGAAATACGCTACAAGTATTCAGAGTATATTTAGGTTGCTAATATGTATGTTTCGATACAAACTAGTATCATCAGAGCTAAGTATATGTTGTTTGTTATCTATTTTTTTTTTTTTTTTTTAAACATATAGCCCTGATGATGATACAAGTTTGTATCTAAACATGTTAGCAATCAAAATAAACTCTGAGCCTGTACTTAAATTAAATTTATTTTTTATATCTCTATCACTCGTGATTTATATACAGTCTATACTTTTTTAAATATTTTAATGGGTGTTGTTTAACATTATAATAAAAATTTAATTGTTTCAAAGATACGAATTTATTATTTCTTAGATACATAGAAATTAAAAAAATAATGGGTATTAATTTCCATAAAAATTTGTATACCTAGGCTAAAAATCTCACTTTAAATTATTTCGAAGTTTCGCAATTGTTAAATTCATTTATTTTTTTTAGCAAAGTACTCCACTATCGTAAACTTAATTGAGAAACAAAAAATTGCGCCATCCTGTATAAAACATGGTATTGAAGATCTAATGGTTTGCAGCTTCTTGTCGTTGGCGTTCTTAACTCTCGCCAAGCTGTCAGTAGTGAACAATAACGGAGGAAAACTCATAACACCTAAACAAGAAAGGTCACATAAATTTAATACTCGCCAATTAAGAATGAACAACTTGAAAATCAGAAACTAGTATTTTTTAACTTTTTTTTATTTTTAATACTTTTCCAACAAATGTACGAAAGCTGCACTTGTTATTAATAATACAAAAGGTTTTAAAATTACACTTTGTCTCTTATACATACAGCACAGCTTATTCATGTTTTAACTTCATACACTTGTCACAAAGGTCTTAAAATAAATTTAAGCTTTAAAAAAATCTTTCATTTGCCACCCTTCCACAGTACTGGTTACTGTTTTATTCGATGAAAACTCCTTCCCTTTCAGATAATAGTCGACTGGGGCTAAATCAACGGCACTGTGAACAGGGATGTAGCCCTGTCCCACTGGCAATTTTTACACAACGTTTCTTCACATTTTTTCCCGAGCCTAGCATTAATAAAGTTGAATAATACGCCCCCGCCACAGTTTTACCTTGTTTCAAGTAGTTTAATATAATAGTCCTTGTCCCAAAAAATTGATGCGAGAACTTTTCCCGCCGATTCTTCGACTTTTTTAGTCGGCAGCGAGGCTGCTTATTTACATTTCTTTAATTGTTCTTTTTCTTCTGGATTGTAGTGAACGATCTGTAGTTACAATACCTTTAATCCTTCAAACTCAAGACATGCAGCATAGCAACATTTTTAGGAGTTGACACAAAAACATTTTTCATTATCTGTAGACATCGTTGACATCTGAATTTGGTCTTCCAAATTAGACAACATTTCTTGGGATAAGATCCTTCAATGTATCCGACATATCTGCATACATTTTTTTGCCTTTTTTTTTAAATTTGCCATATGAAATTGGCAGCACCAAAATTGTAAGAACTTATTGTAAAAGGACGTACACTCTACAGTACGATACTAATTAGTTTTCTATACCCCCTCCTATAAGTTTTTCCTCATCAAAAAGTAATTTAAATGTATTAGAGGAGGTAACATTACAAACTGGGGAGTGGTAGTGCTTGTGGTAACCGCAGTATCATGTTTGATTCTATTTTTGTATACTAATCATTTTGTCATTAAAAATTAGCTGCTACGTACAGTTATTTGTAGCAACTAATAAGGGAGCTATTATTTTTAAAAGAAAATCTAGCATATCATGTTTAATAAAATTATGTAAAACAGCACAAGAGAATATGCTTTTTTTTATTAAATTTTAGATATATGACACTAAAAATTAATTACATATTAGAAATATTTTAAAGGTATCATTTTCATATAACGTACACTTTTTTAAATTTCTAATTTAGGTAAGATACATACGGGGTGCATACACCACAGATCTGTCAATGTTTTAAGTTAAATCCGGAACAGTAATATACCTATCTAACGTAAAAAAAAACACTTTGACAAGTGGTGGTCTCAAGACGTAAATTTTCATTCCAAAGCCAACCTCGATTCGAAATTTAAAAAATCGCATGTTGTAAGTACAGAATGCTACAAGACCCATGTGCTTGTGTAAATCCATGAGTAATAAAAAATAAAATAGGAAAAATGTTACACAATGGCCAACACGCTACTATTTGCTAATGTGTGCTTTCAAATGCAACCGAAATATTTTGTGAAAGAACACCGTACGCCGACAAAAATAGAAATAACTATGCGTAAATTCGGCTCCCATCGTCCCGTCTATTTCCTATACAATTTATTTTATTGCTACATGTGCATACAAAATCGCAAACAATCCCATTTGCCCGCCCATCCCACGCTGCATGCTTATTTGTACCGTTATGGGGCCAACATTGATAAATCCGATTGCAAATTTCTGTATTTGATGGTCCAGGACGTGGGCAGGCTACAATTATGCAAAACTGGTTTCTTTCATGAAATAAAGCGTCTTTTTGGAAGCGGTCCAATACAACCTGTGCCTAAGTTCAGAAATACGATACGACTCCGCGCTGCCAAATCTCATTAAAAATAAACAATGCTTTTGGCGGTAAAACCCCCTTTAGCACAATCTCTCAGAGAAATAATGCAAATTGTATTTAGATTGTGGTCCACTTTATGTCGTTTTTGACAAGTATAAATTTACATTGACAGCGCGTGGGATTCCCATATGAAAAAAGCACAAGCAGGGCTGCCAACTCCCATCATCACTCTTCATTTATCGCTAATGTCCCGATTGTTATGAAAATCATTTTGTTCGCAATATCCTGTCGCCGTTCAGAATATGATTTTGGTTTTATTTTTCTGCAGGATAGCCCCAAGGTCGAATATTTTAGCAGCTAATTTGAAATTCAATGTGTATCCTGAATGTTTAAAAATCGCATTGTTTGTTGTGTATTTCAAGCACATTTTTCTGCTTTTCGAGATTAGCAACAAGTAAAATTATTGTTGAACATGTTTTTGATCTACCCGGCGTGCTAAAGTGCTATTTATTGTGAATTTTTATTAATTTGACCTTGTTGATTACAAAAACTTGTTTCACTTTTATTGCACTTCACTATAATTAAGCGGAATATCACAGAATGAGTTTTCCGCGGAAAAACGACCTCGGTTGGTCATGAACTACTAAACTAAAATGGTTCACTTATCCCCTGTGGCCAGCATTCTCATTATCATGTACATAATTTCGAATTTTTAAATTTCAGATGCAAAATTGGACGTGGTACGAAATTGATGATTATTCAAAAGTAAGTTGAATTTAGTTTTATTGCGGCCAGTAAATGCAAGAAAGTGCATGATTAACGAAAATATCAGTTTGGTACACTCTGCAGAAACGAGGTTCTTTCTCTCACGGATCTCTCGACATTTGGAAATTTATGTTTAAACACAAAACTATAAACCTAAAAAGCAAATTATTGTTAAGAAGTGACATTAAGCGTTTCCATTCTCATGTTACTGCTAATTAAAAAACGCCAGAACTTTTTCGTGCATTAAAAGAATCTGTTGTTATTTATACCTTGGCAGCCATTCAAACTGATATTTACAGTTATACATTGAATTAAAAGGTGCATGTTGGAATAATATATTTGGTAGCCCCAATTTACTACTAGGTACCGCTCGTAAACGAAACGATTTGTCTTTACAAAAGATTACTAAGCAAATGACTGCGCTGTATTAATCACACGGCCTGCAGAGACTCGTGTCAAAATTATTTTTTGTAATAAAGATAACATCATCTGTTTGGGTCCAAAATTTATTTTTAATACTACAACTGAAGACCGGTCTCTATATAACTGAACTTCGTCATAATCACGAGTTAATGACCAAAAAGATGAAATATTTTACTTGGTGTGTTATCCATATATAAAATTTTACGTTTCACGTTTTTTTTCTGCGAAATGCATTTTAATCTGTTTCAAAATACAAATTAATTTATGAGCATCTTTGCTAGTAAAATAAAAAAGTAAGATTTAATTTTCTCCAACGATTAATAACATGTCCACGTTATTTAGATCATCCTATCGTATATTAAATGCAGAATATTTAAAAAAGTGTTCAGTTATTTAAAACATGCCATAAAATTAACAACTTGGAATCTATTCTAAGCTCGTTAGGAGGAGGGAAATGAAATTTTAACGATAACGAGTTTTTTGCGAGAATGATTTTATGTTTAAGCAAGATTGAGTTTTTTTATTTACAATTCATGTTATTAAATTTTGAATTTGAATCTTCAGAGGAGAAAACGTGCCGCACTATTACCTGTGTTGTAATATAAAAAACCACAAATTAAGCTTGCAGACGATCATGACTGTGATCACGTCAGTAACATCAACGTGATTTAACATCAGGAAAAGTACTAATACGATTAGTGAACAACTGAAAATTAACTTTTTTTCTTTACTTTTGATAGTTCATTCATTTTCAATATCCGGAACTTGCATGTTTTTATGTTTAATTCTGTGATAAATGCATTCGAAATTTTTGTTTTATAATTTTTTTACATTTCCCAACAGTTATCATGCAAATGTCACTTTCAACTAAACACAGTCGATTTATTCACCATCATGTTCCAGATGAAACCGTCGACTGAAAAACTTAACTACGGTGTAGGAGACAATGATCTATGCTTAGATTATTATATTTGCCGTGGGATTTTAACGACTCTTTCCGTTGACGGCTTTCCTTAGCCTTAGAGAAAAGCTGTGCCCTCTAACTTTTGCGATTCATTTTATTGGATGAATCGTATCCGGTTACGGAGTGTTTTAAAAATTTACGATGTGAAACTGTAGTAGATATTGAAGTCTGCACAGTGAAATTTTTCCCACCTAGATTTTCTAGTATGTTACAAAATGTCGTGATTATACCGTTTTACAATAGAAAAGCTACTAAAAGCATGCGATCTGATGCCGTACTTTGAATGCACATATGTACTAACTTATTGTCATCCTGTACTAATATGAATGTTTTATATCTAAAAGTGGCCAGTTGTTTTCAGATTTATTTACGCTACCAAAACTTAAATGCAAATATGTTAAGTTAAAGTCAAATGCTGTATGTAATATCCAGAAGTTTAAAAAATTATAAGATTTCGAGTAGTTTTGGTGTAATAGTACTACACACAATGGTAACTAATTGTGTGATCTCAATTTTTCGTGGTGCAACTAATTTTTATATAATTCAAATGTATTTAAAAATAAAGTTGACGTAAAAAATATATTTTCCCGTTAAGGTTAACTATTAATTTAAATTTTAACAAAGTGGTCGCTGCAAAATTGTCCAAGGGCAAGTAACAAAATATGTCCAAATATATGTAAATTATGTATATGCGTTGTATGATGGCAAACATAAAAAAGAACCACAATAATTTGTAAGAATTGCAGCTCCAAATAAAAAATGTCATTTTGGAGTTTTTGCTTTTTTACAGTATAACAAAAAATGAAATGTAATATTAATGAGGAAATTACTTTTCGTTAAATTTTAAAAAGAAATTTGACGTCTTGTGGTAAATGGTGCAAAGGAAGTCTCTTCAGGATGTTAAAAGTAAATGTGTAGTATCTGTCAATTTCAAACATTGATACCAGATGTGGTCAAAACCGAGCTAAGATCATGTATAGATAAGAAAAGTTCACAAAGTTTTCCAGTCAGAGGAATGTTGAAAGTATTGGCTGTACATAAATTCTTGTTGGATTTGCAACGTAATGAAATTTTGTCACTTCATTGAAACTGTGGATACGCTAATTATTATGCAACACGATGTGTTAATAGTGCCCATGCCTAAAACTTGCAAAACGATCGAATCTGTTACTTCTATGCTGTAAATAAACCTAAGATTTTGCTACATGTATTCAAATTCTACCCACTCTAACTTTTGTATAAGTCATACGTTGAAATTACAAGCTTAAAATCAATAGATTTTATACAGTGGGTTTAACTATACAGCAAGATATTTTTATTGTTATTCCTTATTATACTATCGTCATAGAGAGAGTCTTGGAATGTGGAATATATGAAATTAGTTCTTGCGCGCCTGCAAAAATAAATTTCTAGCCAAGTTTCTTGAATTTCAAGGAAACGATTCATTTTTAAAGAAGCAAATTGGAGATGTTGTAAACCGTTGGACACATGGGCAGTATGTGTCTGTGTCTAAGGAAATTGTTTGAAATGTGAGAGAAATGAGGGATGAAAATCCGAGAATGTCTATGTCGAGATTATCTCTCAAATGGACGTTCCGGTCGACCCTTTCCAAAAAAATGTCAAAACAATACTGAATTTGTATTGTTACAAAATTTCCATAGTCTAAAAGCTTCTTCAAGTCAATTATAAGGCGCGTACTCAGTATTACAATTTTAACAGTTTAAAGAATGAAGAATTGATGAAGCTTGGTTTCGCCTTTCCAGATCTATGGGAATCACTTTATGAAAAGCCTCTCGAAAACGTTTAACATTTTAGAATACTTGAAAATGAAAATGTTTTCGACTTCTTTGCCTGGTAGCCAACCACTGCATTTTCAGAACAAAGAATCTCGAATAAAATGAAGAAGTGTGACAGTTATTATATTTTGGTTTAAAAACAGTTTAAAATTTGCCGAAGAAACTCTTTTGGTAACATCGAAAGAAAAGTCAGTGAGGTCACTTTCTTTCAACTTGTTTTGCAACCACAAATGTAGAAAAAAGCCAAGTGTATATCTCTTGTGTAAAGTGCATAATTTTCGTTCTAGGAATCGTCGGTAAATTACATAATCCATTAAAAACATATTTGATATATATACAGTACATACATACAGAAGGTAACACTAAATTTTTTATATTCTGCAAAACATTTTTACGAACGAATTTTCATCAGTTACAATTTGCATTTACTCTTTCACTTTTCACAAAATTATTTAAAACCATATAGCAGCATTTTGTGCCAGTTTCTTTTTAACTTTTAATAATAGAAAGTTATATTTCCCGTAGTGATTTCTACTAACATTCAAATATCAAGACCAAAAGTCGAGAAAAGACCTTTTTTTGTGACAGTTGCATAAAAACTCTCAACAGAAATAGAAACTTTGATTGTGTTTTTTACGTATGAAATACAGGCTCCTGTCCGTCAGTCACTCCTTTACGGAGATAAATAATTATATACCCGGTTTAGCATGATTTTGGCAGTTTAACAAGCTTATTAACCGTTACTATACATATACGGAATAGAGAAATCTACCCATAACAACAAAAAACGAGATAGTATCACCACAACCGGGTGATGTAGTGTAAACGTGTGAAGATAATATCGTCGTTATTTATTGCACCTTGAATCCCCCGAATCAAAATCCGTTCTCTTTTAAGATGCATGTCAAGAGTGGGCGGAAGATCCCCGTTCGTCCGTTTAACATCTTCCTAATTTCTCTAATCCACATTCTTTCGTTTTGCAGCTAACGCCCGAAGACGAAGAGCGCCGCCGCCGTCGCCGCGAGCGCAACAAAATCGCGGCGACAAAATGTCGCTTGAAGAAACGCGAGAAGACCGCGAACCTCGTCAACGAATCTGAAACGCTAGAAACTCAGAATATCGACCTGAAAACGCAACTGCAAGAGCTCCAGAACCAGAAGCGCAGCTTGCTAGACATGTTGAATCACCATAGGCCCCTTTGCCAGCAAAACATCAACCCCGTGACTCGCGAGAGCATTTATCGACTACCTCCGGTCGGTTCCGTCATCGACAGCCATTCCTACAGCCGGCCAGCCTCTGTGGATCCCAGCTTCAGGACGCAGAACATGGAGGCGTTCAGCCGTCCCGCAAGCGTGGGAGTGCCCAGCGTCACGTACGCGCGCTCAAACGTGAACTTTAAAGCGCCGAGTATCGTGATCGAGGAGGTGACAGAGTACCAGCCTCAGCTGACCAACCTGGATAACCCCCTTAACTCTTACCATTACAACAGCCAGTGTCACAACTACTCCAACCAGAACTACACCACGTCCGGGATGGATAATGGGTGTATGGCATAGCCCTTTTCGAAAGTTTTACTGTACTTTGTAGTGTGAATATTTTTTATACTTATGCATAAGAACGGATTCGAACCAGTTATGTTTGGGACTCCGGAACAGACGCACACTCATCTTCCACACCTCGTTAGGACTGGGTGGTGGTATTATTAGACATCCGTCCGTTATTTCGTGTCCTATCAGATTAAAAACGGGAAATGAGGTTGGGTAGTTTAAGTACATAGCTTCCATTTTATAGCCAATTAGAATTTTTGTACGTGTAGCGTGTGCAGGGTGGGGTGTCGAGCATAACTGCGAATTCTCTTGTTATTGTTAAGTGTCACCTCATTTGTTACCAGATCTGAAGAAAAGCTACCAATGTTAAGAGTTATATTAATTGTTAAAATATTTTAATGTTGGTTTACAATTTCTTAGCATTCCAGTGGATAGAAATAGTATTTCTTACTTCATATTATTTATGTTATTTTTGTATATTACTGCCAAATTTTTACCTATTTTTACTTTTAATATTATTGTGTGTTGAAAATATTTAATATTGTTTTTATTACATATTTTTCTATTTTACTTTTTAGGTATTTTAGTCGTAAACTGTGTCTTGTACCTTTTACTTCCATTTACCTCTTTTAGATTTAGAAGAGCAAGAGCAGCGCATTTTGGCGCACTACACCTTTTATTTATGAATGCGGTGCTTTTGCTGATTTCAGAAATAATCTTGGACACGTATTTTAGTTACTTAGGCAATTTATTTGCATAAATTTGCTTTAAGAACTTTGCTTTAATCACACATAACATGCTTTGTAGTACAAGGTCGCCAAATTTTGTACTACTTCATCCTTTTTTGTATTATTTTTAAACAGTGCCTTATTGTTACACTCAGAAACAATAAATTGGCATGTGTTTTTTATTTTAAATTAAAAGACAACTTTTAAAATTGTGATATTGATGTTGCATCATCTATAAATTTAAGAACTAAATTCTAATTTTAGAAAAAAAATCAAAAATAAACATGTGCCATCACCAGCTTTTTCTACACACACTTCAAGTTTTTATAAAACTTTTTAAACCGTTTTACAGCCTTGGTGAATTCATTTGTATAAACGATTTAATGCCGATTTGGTTGATATTAACTCTGAAATACTGGTGCAGAACTAATTACCTTTGCGTTACCTGTACTTCTAATAAAACGGGTAAATTAATAATATTTTTGAAATTGTGCCTTAATCTGTGACTTGAAAACACAAATAAATTCATGATATTACCCATAACTGGTCTTTTATATTTACTGAAACCCCAAAAAGATAGCAGTAATTAAAAATTGAAGAGAAACCAAGACTTGTATATTCAATACTCTTGCTGTGATCAGATATAGTAGCTAATGTACCACATACACTTTCTCTTTTTTTCTTGTTCTGTTCTATATGAATACCTAGTTTTGTTTTAAATTTTCCATGTCTACGATATTTTTCAATTGGTAGCTTTTGAAGATAAAGCAAAAATTATTGGAAAATGTGTTTTATGGGATTCAGACAACCCACGCCAAAGCCGCAACCCCATTAACTTCGAAATTGACCCAGATTGTCTCCTTTGCGGAATCCGAAGCTGTTTAGCACACCTGCGTGCCTCTGGCAAACTCTAGATTGCTTGGAACTCAATCTTACTTAGCTAACTTCCAGAAATATAAGAAAACTAATTTATAATTGTAATTTGAACGTTTCCTCGACGTGTCTGTAACAATACATTGTCAAAGTTTCTCTTATGATCAGTATTTACTTCTCACTTGAAAAATTCATTGGTGGTATATAGCAGAGCTAAAAAAAAATTAACACAAAAAACCGATCAAAGACTTATTTCAGTATTTTCTCAATTGTTTCATTTAACGTAGGTATCTCGAGAAAATCTGCAACTAGCATTTTCTAAAATTCGAACAACCATCGTCAAAACAACAGCTGGCCGAACTTGAAAACTCCAGGTTGTCACCGTTGCCATAATCTGAAATGATTTAAAGCACATTTGTCTGTTTGGGAGATCCAGAATGTTTACAGTGAAAAAAAGAAGTATAACAAAAGCTAAAAAATTATAAAGTAATTAAACGACGTGCTCCTCCTCCAGAACTTTAAACGATACAACTGAACTGCAACTCAAATGGTACCTTTTTTTGAGTTTGTGGGGTACCTATTTGATGAAACTTCAGAAAACGTGTCAAAAATGTTGAAACTATCAGTTTCTTACTTTGATTCCTGTTGTCCCGGAATTAGGAAACTGATACAAGAAATTCCTTTTCTGAATTTGAAACGAGTGAGGCACACCTAAGAAACATACTAGAAAATTTCTATATAGAATTTAGTGTGATTGCGATGATTCACATTCACAAAAACTAACGAGCATAAATTTGCATTATCAACTTTATTTGAATCTTTGGAATGAATATATTGTACATGATGGTAAAAATAAATATGAACAATAAGCAACGGATCAGGATCACGGTTTAAGTATGTTCCAAGGAGCCCACATACAATTCTCGTCATTGTGGAAGGCTGAAGAAAAAAAACTTCTCTGAAGACAAAAGTTCAGAAAAATTTCATCAGAGTGTTAAACTGATTCTATTTTGAAAAATGCGGTCAAGAAATTCAGCTGGTAAAATTTCTAAACACACCTCGTAACTACTTTAACATGTTCAAAATCATTCGGGCAAAAGTATTTATTAACTAGGGAAAAAATCAAATTTTTGATAACAGAAACAAAAATAATACACATTTTACGCAGGTCTATAATAATTATAATTTGCAATTATTATTATTATTGATGGTAGTCTTTAATCTGATAAGCTTTGTAAAGTAGAACAAAATGATGAAATATTTTCCCGAGGCTAATTTTAATAAGGCTTATTCGTTAACTGCTGATTTGGCTAGCTGCCTAACAGGAGTGGATCTGGTAGAATGATTAGGTAGTGATTTTCGTATGTTTTACAACGAATTTTCTTTTTCTGTGCTTAATTTCCCCCATTTATCCATTTCATTGACGAAATCTTTTAACGGTAATATCCACTCCTCATCTTTGCATCTAAAAAATAGAAACTATTAAATTAGAGTAGTAGATAGTAGGTATTTCTCGTTGTAGTACAAAGTACACGCCAACCACTTGTTGTCTACAAACGCTGAACTCCCACTTTGAAAATATCGGGTTATGGTCCAAACGGTTTGTTCACTGTTCTCTATTGTCTATTTTCTCAAAAATAATCGATTATAAGCAATTACTTAGCCTTTTTAAATTCTTTGAATGGATTGTGAGGATTGAATGGTTGTGTTCCAATTTTTACAAAACTCACTTGACATACACCTTGTAAAGCTTTTATGACTTAAGCGACCTAAGCCAAACCACCCATAAGTCAAAGTGGCTATTGTAAGCTTTATGAATCCGAACCGCAAGGATTATTGCTGTCCATTGTTACCATAATGAAGCTGTAAAGTTTTACTAGGTATGTGTGAATTGAGTTAAGTTATACAACAGCCAATTTGACTTATAAGGGTGCTTTGGCTTAAGCCGCTTAAGTCATAAAAGTTTTATAAGGTGTATGTCAAGTGAGTTTTGTATAACAGTAACCGCTTCATATTTTCAAGGTGTAGGGAGTATTTCTGTGGGTTAAGTTATAACGTTTAGTTAGTTTATTTTAGTCAGACAGAATTTTGTAATTTGATGGTGGACGACGACGTGGTGTCCTTTCGTAGCTTCTCAGACATTTGACTTGTTGCCCTAATCGGGCCATATTCATCACGAAATCACAAATTGAAATGAAGGAAATATTTTTTTTGTTATTAAAATCAGCGACATGATATCGTCACTGAATTTTCACTAATCGATAAAAAAAGCTGATTGAATTCTCTTTTCAAATTCAAGTTTATATCACGTCAATAGCAGGCAATTAATTTACCAACGTTTGAAAGTGGTTTTTCAATTCTAAAAATATTCCTGTTAAGCACTTGTGGTCATTTTGAACCAAAAAGCCATTTATAATTTTCTCATGAAAATTTGCAGCAGTCACATAGATTTTTGTCGTATTGTGTGTGAAAGAAATATACAAACTACTGAAGGTTTTACAGTATTTTGCTGCGTAGTAGAAACACCAGGTAAAATTTGGTTCAATTTATATTTAAATAATTTCCGATTGTGAATAAAATTAGGGGAAAGAGTGTTATGTGCTGTGACAGTCTTTCCAATAAGAAAAGCCAAAATATTGCTTTACAATAACTAATTCTGCAGCAAAATTTTTGAACTTTTTTTGGTTTCATTGACAAATTTATTCATTTTTTCTTGTGTGTTCAATAATTAAGGTTCTCTTTCTACAGACTGCTGAAGTATATATTTACAAACCTTCAATTTCTAGCATTATGTTATAATCTGATAAATGCATTTTTATTGATGATAATGATGATGAAGGTGCTCGTTCGCAAATAGTAAATTCGACGAAATTTCAAACTGATTTGAAGATTTTTAAAAATAGTCTCGTAGATTTTTTCCGAAATTTTGTCGTGACTTTGTCTTTTTTATTGTACCCATTAGTACTGCTTCTGCTGAGTGATCATTTTTAAATTCATTGAAAAACTGTCTCATCTTAATTAGGGGTCAGTAGCAACTATAATGCTTTTTAATGAATATAAAGCATTTGATTCTATTCTGTTTTCTGAGATAACTCACAAGTTTGCTACCATGAATGCCACAAACGTAAAATTCTAAACTATAGTTTGATTTTTTTAATACTAATTTTAATTTACTACGCTTCCATACATTTTTTACGTACATAAATACTCACAAACACGGTATAACTATTAGATGTAGAATGCTAGAATGTATAAAATAATCATGAACATACTAAATTCCGTTTTTTATACCCTTACTTTTATAAAATGAATCAATTTACTTCATAGCACCAATGTAACAAAAAAAACATTGTGACCGGCTGTGAAGGACAGCCGTTCTACTGTAATACACAGACAACTAAATAGCCAGAACCATCCTTGTCTACAACATAGTAAGAAAATTATATTCTGAAAATCTAGTTAACACTTGCAATCATTTATCTGCACACATTGAAATACACTCAAATAATAAGTTTAGTAACCATAACAATCCATTTATTTCTGAATGTATTACAAACAGATGAAGATGAAAATACAAAATCTTATTAGAAATGATAAGTTAACTCTCTATAAAAATTTACTTTTGATGTCTTAAACTTATTGAGATGTAATAAATACCATTTAGGAACCCACAATAATGTTATTAATGGGTATATGAATCAGTTTAACGAAGAAACCTATAAAACCCATAATACAGAATCCGATGGCTGTAGCAATGGCGATCTTTTGAAATTCTGAAACAAAAAAACAGGATGATCAGTCATTACAATTATTTTTAATCCACAACAATGACATCAACGTTTATTTACACGCAGTGCACTATTACTCGATATTTGGGGCAGATCCAACTGGTACCTGTCCAGAGGAGAAAAACAAAAATAATACTTTGAACATTATCTACTCTGGCAACAGGTTGTTTTCATTTGAATTACTTAGATATATGTAAAAGACCCATTTGGTAAGTACATGCCCTTTAATTTTATTGTGCACGTCACAAGATGCAACTTCATAATGAATTTTTAAGGAGAAGTTTTCAAACTTCTCAAGGCGTTATTAAAATCACAAAAAACAAATGTGGAAACGAAAAACTCACCCCTTCTGTCTGGTTTTGTACATCTCTTAACTAATCTAATGGAATCTTTAGTGAACTGACGGCCTGGCTCGATGAATTTCGTGATTTGATCCATTTTGCTGTAAATTTAATAGGGATATTAGAAGTTTTTTACTAAAACCATTGACTTTAAGTTACGATTCAAACGAAATAACTGATATAATGAAAAATGAGTTAATTACCTTTTTACTACGACGCTGCGAGTTTGAATAACTGTGCACTTTCTCCACTCGTAACTACGAATATTTCATACGTCAACAATATTCGTTGACAGATGGCAAGCCACGATGGCAGGAAAGTTGTGACGTGTAGCGGTTCGTTCACGACACGTTTTTAACATCGACATGGAAAAAATATTTCATGCATTTAAAACATATGGGTTATATTGTTGTAGTCTTTTAAGACATTATGATGAAGAAAATCGTATACAAAACTTTTTTCTTGTTTAAAATTGATTTTGGTGCTATTGAACAAACCATTACACGCGGGAACTTTAAATTGAGCCTGATGAAAATTCAGATTTTTGTCAATATTGAGCAACAGTTATTTTTTCAGTAACATATAATAGATGAATAATTTTTGTTGCAACTATACTTTTGTAATGACGTTTTTGTTAACGTTATTTATAGTCACAAAAGTTACTTAAATAAGATCAAAATTAATCCTAAGTAATTTATGCAATTTTATAATCTCCGTTGTCTTGTTGGTTGCCTAAATATTATATAAAATTTATACGAACTTTCCTAATGTATACGACTGAGACGTTCATTATTTATGACATATGTATCTGTATTATTAAGCATAATAATTATATAGAAGTATATAACAACTACTATTTAGCATAAGAACGATAATTGTATGATTAGGTTATTTTTTATATATCCGTTATATCAATGTCGAGGTTGAAGATACACGTTTGTTTTAAATTTGAAATACTGATTAAGTAAGAGCGTAGAGACAATATGAGATCAAAACTAATATTAATAAAATTTTTTTTGGTGATGTAACTGAGAATAGTCGTAAAAGTTTCTTCGAGCTCCAAAATTGGAACATAAGTAAGAATAAAATTAGTTTAGATGCGGATTTATAAATCACGTGGACAGGTAGAGTATGCTATTTCATTAAATTTAAATCTTATTTGCTCTGAAAAATCTTGAAGGGACGTCATCACCTTGTTGGTGGGGATGATTATATACATTTTGGTTAACATAAAATTTACACAATCGGTCTGGTAGTTTCTAATAAAAATTGACACAGACGACAGACAGACGGAAACAGGAGACCTAATTTTTGTACTCTAGGTGTCATGAAACGTCGAGGAAACCTGAAAGTAGCCATTCGTCCACTGGATTCTATTGTAACGCCTTTTTAGCTTACGCTCAGGAAGTAAAAATTACAATTCAAATAATTTCGACTGCTTTATGTGAAATGCTACAATAATTAACATCCGTTCAAACCATGGAGATAGAAGAAGAAGAGAGGAGGGAAGACAGTTTGAAAAAGTTTCCGGTGCCGCGCATTCAGTCATAAATTGCTCTTCCAGGTCCTTCGAGATAGTGGTTGCTCCAGTGCTCGAAAGTGTTCGCCCGGTACCAGACATAAGATACAAAAGTAACTCAATAAGGCAAAATATAAAAGCAGTAACAGTAAAATTTACTTGAGTTTTTATGTTGCAATAAATATTTTTGTTTTTATTTTGTAATTAAGCAAATGGTAAGATGTTTTTACTAGCTATGAATCTATTTTAGACCAAACAACAACGCCTCTGGCCCATGGTAGAAGGAGACATGGTATAGGCATCCGATGTACCAATTTAAAAATGGTCTGCGCATCCATTTGTGACGTTAGGTGGCATCAACGACCTTGTGACTCTTGTGAGCTTCGCTAGGGAAGTCTAGGGAATTTTAGCTTGAGTTGTCAGTGCTCTGTCCAATACGTCAATTAGTTGTCGGATAACGAATTGTATTTTAAATTTCGCGCTAATTTCACCCCACTTGACGTCACAGTCGATGCGTATGCCTATACCATGTCTCCTTCTACCATGCTCTGGCCTATGGTCCTCTGTTGTTCATCGACCATTCCCGATGTAGTACGGAAAAGGATATGACGCTTTGGTAAAACTTCAAAGTACTGTGACTCAATTGAAAAAACCTTCCAGGTGAATTTGGGAAAAAAATAAAAAGGAAAGTAGAATCTGTTGTTACTAGAAATCCCGATTTAAATCTTTTGTATCAATTTTGCGATGACATAACGGAGCCACACATTAGAACAAAATATGAAACTTATCTTCCATTTTTTAATTACGCACACCAGTTATGACGTGGAGCGTTTGTTTTCTAGATTGAAAAACTTATTAACCCCTAAAAACACGTTTTACAGAGGAAAATTTCAAGCGAACGCTTGTTGTGTATCCAACGCTAGACCTTGAACAGTCTGCGAAACGTTTCTGCACGCCTATGGATTAAAACGGCTTCGCCGCTCTCTGCTGATGTGTGAATAATTTTTTTTATCGGATTTGGTAAAAAAGTCGCTAAATGGCGCCCGCGTGGTAAATAACGAGTAATTCAGAGTTTAATAATAATATTCCCTATTTCTTAAAGCGGCAAATTTTGATCAATACAGTTTTGAAAAGTTTCCATAAGCCACTTGATCTACAAACATTTATAGACACGCTGTACAAGTAGATAACATGTTTAAAATTCCCAGGAAATGGCTACTTGATGAAATAGTTTTATTTAATTATAATAAAAACCATTTGGAACGTGTTTTCCAACATTCTATAAATTTAAACATAAATGTGAAGTTGGACTTTGCTGAATTGCAACCTAATTCATAACTGGTTAAAAATAAGCTTCCAAAATTTTTTTTTGCGAATTAAGCAGTAAAAATTTGGGGCACAAAATTGCTATAATTTACTCATTTTGTCCATTATCTTCTAAAACGCCGAAATGTACCTTCGTGTTGATTGTTCTAAGCAGTGGCGGCTCGTCAGGGGAGGCAGGGGAGGCAGTGCCTCCCCTGGAAAAATTGACTATTAGTTTTTGTTTTAATACCTCTCAACTTCAAATATATTTTAAAGATATAGCAAATAACTTTTATAGAACACTGTGATTTATTAAAACGCGTCTTGGTAACATATTTTGAAGTACGCGCTTTCGACAGGAATAAGCGCTGATCATCACCGTGTAGGCCAACTTCAGACGGAGGCATGCCTCAGATAGACGGATATCTTCAGTATGATTAGTCAGTGGTGCTAATATGTTTTTGAGAAAGACAATAGTCAGCAGTGGTTTATCAAAGCGCCAGCGGAGGCACCAACGCCTACCGTCCTTAAGCCAATCGGATCGAATTTTTTAATCTCACAGTGAAACTGCACAATGCTGAACAGGGATGCTGAATGCATTTAGCGTGCATTTAGTTGTGCACTAATTAGACGCGAGAAAAGGTGTTCACTGCATGTGCATTGCCAAGGTTATGTATTAAAACTTTTAAGTTAAGTTGAAAACATTAGGACCATGAAAATGCCAGTTTTGCAATGCTGATAGGAACTAAGAATCTCTAATTCTCTAACGATATTGTAGAATTTCTTATAAAGTTTAAATATTTAAGCACGGTTTTCTTACGACGAACAGTTGTATGTCAAAGATTTAGGAACCTCTCATCCCAGATTTGAGCAGAACTTTATTAATTAATTGATTAATATATTTAAATCAGCCCTAGATCATATGAATTAAAATTTATGCTAATAAAGCAAATTCGGTAGTCTTTACACATTCTCGTTGGTTTGTGAGAAGCAATTAAATGTTTTTTATTCGAAAAGGGTGGAAATATGTTACTGACTCAGAGTTATTTGTATTGTTTTCATAAAAACGGATAAAGAATCTGTCTTTTTACAAAAGTAATTGCGAACATGTTAATTAATACCTGCTGATTTTGAAACGAAAATGTTGCCTCCCCTAACGGAAAGACCACGAGCCGCTACTGGTTCTAAGCTACCTTATATTAAACATTTCCAAGAACTGTTTATAATTAGTACATATTTAACTCGTTCGAAGGTGTATAGCAACAGTAGGTCGCAGTGGTTAAGGCTATTATTATATTATTACACGTTAATTAAACATGCCGTTAAACATCAGTGGTTGTTAGTCGCGACAGAATTGTTTGGCAACAACACATTAGAATTAAGTATTAGATAACATATAACAGCTAGTACATATTATCTGCATGAAAATGTCTATGAGAAAAATAAAAATGGTGTTCTGCTCACACCGTAGGTAAAAATTAAAAAAAAACTACAGGAAAGGAAACAATTCTAAATATTAATTCACAAATACCACCTATTTGAAAACGGAAAAATCATTGACGCTTCGGCTTTAAGTGAGCTTGAATTTGCATTTCCGAAACCTGTATACATAAGGCACAAACGATACATGAACAAAAAGACGAATCGACATCACAATCTCGGGGTTTTCAATTATTCTGATCTGTGGCACCATCACATAGCACCACTTAGGAGGCGCATCATTCTAAAAAGTAGGCCACTGCAAACCAGAAAAAACGCTTGAAGACAGAAAATTTCTATACATCAGTATACATACATCATGGAGGTAGAATGACAGGAGGGTGTATGCCTTATTTAAGCAATGTTAAATGCCGACAAAAGAGCCCCTTTCCGTGCCACATCGGAAGAGGTCGGTCATCAAGAGAGGATCAGAGACGGTGCCGTTTAGTTTAAAATGGCTTCATAGGATCATAGGGAATAGAAATGTCTTACCTAGTTAGTATTTACTTAATTGTGATATAAAAACAAAAATATTGCTGGTAACATAACCAGTGCCCGGTAAACGCAAAGCAGGCCGCTGAAACAATTAGTTTCTCGGAGGAGCTGGAAGAGCCATGATCCTAGTCGCAAGCGCGAAAGCACTCACTTTTTCAAAATATCTTCCCTCCTCTCATTCTGCCTCCATGATATACACAATAAAAAAGTGGTCTCCCGTCTCCGCCTGTCTGACGTCTGTCTGTCTGTCGTCTGTGCCGATTTTTAATAGAGTTTTGAACAAAATGTTATTTAGAAAAGTTTACGCTAAAAATGAGTTACCGGTTAAATTTTTTGCATTCAGTTCGATAACACCGTGTAGGTATAACCGATATCTCGTGCACGTGCAAACAAACTACTTACATTCTAGCTCCTTGTGTTACGGCGACGGGACATACACACATAGTTTGAGGTTGCCGAGCGTTCGATTAAGATCTGCAAGACTTAGTTTGAATCTTTCATCATTGTTACATTTTTTTTTTAATTAAATCAAGAACAGTTCACCCCATTTTTTCGAAAATTACAGTATTTTTATTACAATAACGGCTCCTCACCTAAAATAATATTAGAATCATTTTGCTGCTTTGTAGCTAGTCCTCTTCCCTCCTCTTAATCAAATTTCATTTTCTTTAATGCGGTCGCTGACGCTTGCACAAGAATACTCTTAGTCTTTCCAAGTATAAACATAAACAGTTGAAGTTACCCATATAATTACTAAAAGAGCACATTTTCCCGCTGGTTGTCTGGTTTAAATACACTGACCACCAAAAAAACCGACCACCTTGAAAAATTTCGCAAAACCACTTTAAAAATTAATAATTTAACTAGTGATTGTTATTTTATTAAAGAACCATTCACTATCGACACATGATGTACAAATTAGCAAAAAAAAAAGAAGACAAATAAACGCAGAATTAAATTTAATTTAACAAAATAACTGAAACAGACCAAGTACGATATTTTCTTAATTAAAACAATAAAGGAGGCTGTTGTTGTAAACCGTGTTTTTCATCATTTGATTATAAGTTTGGCAGTTAATAAACGTTTTCACGCGAAAACAATGCCCTTAACTCTTACAGATGTCTCTCAAATTGTCGCTCTGTTTCTGTTATTTTGTTAAATTAAATTTAATTCTGCTTTTATTTGATTTCTTCCTTGCAATTTGCGCTACCACAACACAGGCGCTGCGGGAGGTATTATTTAAGCCAATGGTTTTTACTTTGAAGAGATTATTACAAAACAAAAATCGTAAAATCAAATTTTATAATTTTTCAAAGAAGCGGGATTTGTTGAACTCTACTTCAGGGCTTTCATACTCACGAAAAGATAGCCATTCGCCGAATGGACTCTAGTTATTACATTACTTCCTTACCTTACGCTTGAGAAGTAAAAATACAGATATATTTATGTTAGAGCAGAGCTTCATTTAAAATAAAATATTGGTTACCAGGAGTCAGTTAAATTTATTCTGAATTTTCTTTGATTTCATTTCTTTGAAATTAGAAGTAGTTTTTATTGTACCACAGAATATTACGTATGTAACGTGCGTGCAATGTAGGTTATAATGACAAGCACATCCATTTATTAGCAGCTGCCAAAACTAATGACTATTTTACGAAGTAGTACATGCGTCACTAAACCACCTTTATGAGTCACGGAGAATATTGACAATTTACTACAAGTTAATAACGTTATCAAACAGTCAAATTATACCCAGAACGTTACTGATGTATCTATTACCTTTTAATGCCTGTGATAGAAGGTAATAAGTAATGTAGAAGCTTGCAGAGATATAGGGGCCGTACATAAAATCAAAAGTTGGGAATAAAAATAACATAAAACTGACTCAAAAGGAGTCCACGACGATGGCTTGCAAGTTCTGACGTTAGAAGTTCTTTACCACATGTGCGTTGATAGAAAGATTAAATAAAAGTTAATGATAACTATAAAAATAACACTTTTAACTGAAACAAAACAAAACAAAATTCCAAACTGTGTTATTTTAATACTTTTTTTTACTTTTTAGTACAAATAAGAAAAGACATGTGTTACACTATTGAATGCAGAAAAAATGTTTTTTTTTTTAATATTAAATTTGAGCCCTCGTACTATTTAAAAAAAAGTTATGCGAATTTGGCGACACAAACTCCTTTCACTGTATCTTATTTCCAAAAAAAAAAAACTTGATAATGTTTTCCATAAAATTTATAGAATTTCGTAAGCCGAAAACAGTGGTGAAAACCGGTTCCAAAATTTCCATTAATAAATTGAGATTTTGATTTTTAAAGGCACGTGATGTAAAAATTTCACCATAAATGTCGTAAATTATTGGAAAATATATATAAGGCATTGTATACTGTGTAGGATTTTTTTCTCCAAATTTATTAAGAAGTAAGTAATTTTCCAATAATGTAAAAAAGTTAAAGACCAAAGTTGTACGGTTTTTGATGGCATACAATGAAATTGTTTTCAGTTCATTCGAGGGTCCTGTTTGAAGGTGTGTGTTGTAACTTAGTTTTTTTCAAGTAGGATACGTATAGTCTCACTTTTACGTTGTGTTAAAATCAGTATTTTATAACCCATTTATAACATTATAACCCTAGTTTATTTTTGAAATTCTAATTCCTTGTTATTTCAGAATTTTTTTAGCAAAGTCTGTCTTACAATACTTATGTATTTTAGAGAAATAAATAAAGGTGCGTGCTTTGCTGTGATATAAATAATAAAGTTGAGTCTTAATTTACAGTGTTTTCTTTTTATTAATTATTACGATTTCCAAATATCGGTATTTTAGTTTTTTTCCAATAGAGCAGCCTTATTTTACTGCTTCTTATTCTAAGTATTTCTTGTTCTTTCTTTTTTGTTAAGTATTTTGTAAATTTAAAGTTGATAGTTATTGCAATTTTTTAATTTTTAAGGACATATTGAAAAAAAGGGAACAAAAATAGAGTAAGTTGCATTAATAAATTACCGGGTCTTCTATTTGAAAAAAACTAAACTACCGATATTTGAAAATTGTAAGGTTTTACTGCATACCTACATTAAAATTTGAATGCGAACGTCCATAAAAGCCTGGAATACAGATCTTGAAAATCACATTATTACGATTTTTTATGAACCCCTGTTTTGCTAAAAAATTTAAGGAACTGGAATAACGTGGCAATATCGCATCGGAATTTCAAAAATAAACTACGCTTCTAAAACCTAGAAAGAGGGTAATGAGAATACGCAAAAATATATCGTATGCCACATTTGCTACTCAAAGAACCGTACTACTTCAGTTTGTGATTTTTTTTTCCATTTCTAATAATTAAAATTTAATGAGATATCGTGGATTGCGCGTTGAGTGACTCACCCTATACAGGGTGACTGCGAAATATGTGCAAATATTTTAACCACGGCATCCCCCACCCCAGTAGAGCCGAAATATAGAAAAAACAAATTAAAAATCGAATGGGGCAAAACCCCCATGAACCACCCTCGACACGAAGACACTGAGCCACCTTGTAAACAGAGTTGGAAAAACGTTCGACTAAAAACGACCCAAACACTTTCAGTTTCAATTAAAAGTAAAACCGACTTTTTGCTGCTTATCATTCGTTCATTCATTTACTCATTCATCGTTAAAGGTCAGTGTGAAAGTTTTTTGGTAATTTTGATTCTGACGGATGTTTGGTCCTTGTCACAACGATTTTACATTGTTTATTGGAACAGAAATAAGAGCAACTTAGAATGCTACTACCTTTTTACAAGAAATGTTGAAAATGTTGTTCTTGACTAGCAATACAGGCGTCAGAGCGTCGCAAGAGGTTTGTTGATAGGCAAAAAAACACCGGAGTAGCGGCTGCCACTTTCACTTGTTGAAGCTCTTCAATAATTTCTGGACACTGTTGATTTCCACAAACGAATTGTTTCATCCAACACCTTTCTCGAAAACCGTCTCTTGAAATCGTACTTGTTGACGACTATGTGGAGTTCCATTGGACAAAAAGTGAGTTACACAACGTGGACAATCAGTGGACTCCAAACCGTGCACTTTGTCAACATGGTATGGATGTGGCCGTGTTCTTTTAATGTAGGATGCACTACAAACTGCGAAAATCCAAATTCTCCTTTCTGCCCCATCACGACCACGATCGTAAATTTGAGGTTGAAGGTAACATGATCTCGGAGATGCTGTACCACCATATCGACACACTCTGCATTGGAAAACTGGACCATACACCGATTTCAACGACCGCTCGATAATGACTGGCCCTTTTCGTGTTTTTCACGTTGCGATTAAAAAAGTGCCTGATAAAGTTACTTTTTTGGTTCTTACTCCGAGTCCCCTACCCATTCATTGCAGTAATTATGTAGGTCACGAAACATTACCAGCGGCGCGTATAACAATTTACATTTAATTTCAAATAATTTTTTCTAGACACTGCTACCACTTAGGACCGTGAATTTTTGCCAGTGACATAATCATATTGTGAGCTATTGCCCATTTTTTTTTTTTGCATGTATTTCGCAGTCAGCCTGTATATTCAAGTACTTATTTCTTTAATCACGGCTGACTGAACGGATGTACGTCAGTACTGTTGTTGAATTTTGTGGGCTTGGAAAATCACGAACTTTGATTCCTTCGAGTGTTGCGCATTCATGCGACCCTTTTGCTTACTGCCATAATGTCAGTTTACTACGTAGTTATATGTTAATAAAATAATAATATTTGGTACGAATTAAACATAATGTTGATAAATGGCATCACAGTTTTCAGTGTTCATACGAGATGGGGATTAAAGTTAGAATTATATTTTTTTAACAATAAGTCAAACCATTTTCGCATTATTTTCACTTGAGCAATTTTCACTGATTTTTGTTATCAGAAGATTATAGAATTTCAGTGAATCAAAATTTTAACAAAAGAAAAAAAAACAGTCTTAATCAAAAGTGACCTCTTGATCTATGCTTTGTTACATACATACATATTTACATTTTTGGCGTTTAATAAGTTCACTCACTTTGACGTAGTTTGCTAGATAAAGATTAGCGCGCCAAATCTATCAAAATAATAAGTCGTAAAAAAAATGCAAAAAAATCTTTCCGCTCGTGGCATGTGCTTATTCTTCCGACTCTCGCAGCCATAAAACCTAAACGGTTGATTCAATGAAGCGTAATTTACCAAATAATGTTTATTCCGGTCGACCAATTTTTATATTAAATCTCAAGTATACAGATACTATATTCGCAGATGCTGTATTTCTGCGGTCAAACTTTATTTGAAATTAGATAATAACATTGTATATCCGTAGCGTCGCTCAGTCGGCATTGCCAGTGCTCACCCGCATACTGTAGAGAATAGATCAACATCGACCAAAGACAATTTTCAAACAATGCTGTGTAAAGTTTGCGTAATTTTCCTTTTATTGGCTGCTTGTGCTTACGGGTATGAAGACTGCGGTAAGTTTGGCTTTCTTGAATATTTTTACGAGAATTTCTTTTACACAATCATAATTTTCTTTGTCTGTAGTTTTTTACGACGAAACGCACTGAAGAACATTGATAATTATTAAGAACAATCGTTTGGAATTTTTCATTTCGACTGTTTATACGACAAAAAAAGTAACCATAATGGTATTATCCTGTGAATAACAAGTATTATTATATACCTATTAAAACCTCATTTCTTAGAACCTTAAAAAAATGAAAATAAGTCATGCTATTTTTGTAAATTAAACACATATATTTTGATATTAATTTTAAGCATATTCATCTAAGTCAAAGTTCAGCTAAGTACATTTTGATACATTTGACTTATTTTATACAAACACCGATAACATTGCTTGTCTCTATATGGTATTAATTTGATAATGCCTACGTAATGTAAAACAGAAGAAGTATTACGATAAAATTTAAATGAATGCAGTTATTTTCTTTTTAATAAATGAAATATTTTAAATTGGGTATATCACTCAGAAAACGTTGCTGAAATTTTACATTGTTTATAAACTGTAATTAGGTTATGCAATTTAATTCTTTGTATCGATAGCATGTTCGCAAAAATCAAGGTCATATGCTACTGAATATTTTCCATAATTTTATATGACCGTGACAAAGAAAATTCTACGTTTGCTTTGTCGTTGTATTGTTTTTATTAGCAAGTACCTATTCAAATTGAAATATTATTTTTCAGTTCATTTAAATAATTCTAAAAATTTTTAGAAAAAGAATGATTGAAAAATAAAAATTTAGCTCCTAGGCGTTCTAAATTAGTATATATCAGTTTATTAAAAGAATCTTTTAGCATAAATAACGCCAAAAGGGGCATTTTAACAAAATCTGATGTCAACTGTAACAACGTCGAACCAGTATTGTCTTTTCATATTTCCTACATTTGGATTTAACATTGAGCAACATGATAAAATTCAGTTCATAAGCGATTCTGGAACCAATATGTAAAAACATATTAGAAATTAATTTAGATATGTTACAGAATTATCAGGAAAATATGTATTTAACTGCGATTAACTTGTGAGTTCAAAAATATCACATGGTCATTTAATATCTTGAATTGCCGTTTACCTATATAAAAAGAGTGACTGAAAACAAGTAGTAATTGAAAAACAATGGCATTTTTTAGTAGATATGTTATTTAAAAAAAAAAAAAAAACAGATTTGCGGAGGCAAATAGCGCCTTATAAATTCTTGGAGATTATAATAAAATATGTAATTCATATTGATGTTCATTATCCATTTCTCATAAAGTTCTGAGAGTGTTGTATTTATTATGCGTCATATAGTTTATCTCGTCATAAAATACTTGTTCAGGGCAACAGATACAGAATTAGGTACTGATTGTAATTATTTTTGTATATGTAAGCGGTGCCATACTTTGGATCTAGAAGTGTACCTACTCGATATGAAATTTTCTGTTCTCTCCTTATAACTATTCGTCGAATTTTAGTTGCAACATTCTGTAACCTTCATAGAAGTTTATGTTTGATGTTACGAAAAAGGAAATACTATATCCATGTCAGTTTTATTACTGCAGTCTTGCACATAATCGCCGTTATAAACACCTGCAGTTGCAACTAATCTAATATCACTTTCAGTTGGTAATCCCACACAAGGTCATTAGAGAAAAGACAGAAAGCATTCATTACTGTTACTGATTACTCATTTGCTTTAATTACCTCAGTTAACAGCAAGAAAAAGTGATTAACATACATTATTATCTTTTTCAGGTTCAACTGCTGGATCAATCGTATCAGTCAATGTATCCAATTGTGACAACATAAAGAAATGTGTACTGAAGAGGAACACAAATGCAAGCATAGAGATTAGTTTTACGACAAGTATGTGTAAATTAATTTAAAAATTCAAGATGAATCAATTTGTCAAGACATAAATATTAAATAATGCGAATACAATTTGGTCAGCATTTTGCATGATTGACTTTGACGATCTATGCGAAATGAATTTTTATTTTTATACAATTTTGACCTCTGGGAGGTTGAAGGTGATGCGACTGTGGAAAGCGGAAATGTAGATTATAGCTTCGAATCAATGTAATCAATTCAAATAACGAAATCGTTTCATTGCGAACTGTACGTAGTTTGTAATCGTCATGGTCAACGATTTATTTAATTTCGTTTGACATTGCACGGTGTAAACCTGTTAATAGCAATTTTTATTTTTGTTTTTCTCCAACAATGGGGTTCGTTTATTCTAAAAGTATAACAAGATTTTTATGTCCGATAGTATAATAATCTGTTTTATGATATCACTTGGCGTCCATAAAGTGACTCTTTATGGACTAGTCCGTAATGATAAAGTAAAAAGGCCGGTTCCCAATGTTAAGTACCTAATTATAAATAATAATTAACCCCAACATAATTTTTTATGGAAATCAGAAAACAATCGAATAGAAATTACAAATATTAATTCATTATTAGAGTAATAGTTATTGTTAATATTGATCACACAATTAACACTATTGCTTATAGAAGACAGTACTGTTGATTGATGTACTTATTGGATTTTCTTGTACTGAACTTTAGATGAGGGACATGTGTGTCCTAAAATTTTTGTGGCGACGTTAATTTTTGTCCTTTCGGATTCTTCTGCATATCCTTCCACAACACTGTCTGAGCGCCATCCTTACTATCTGCTTGCACTTCAATGCTATCCAAATGAAAATGTAAATCCGTAATCAAAGTTAATTTTTTTCACTACAATCGAACATAAAGCTTTGTAGTACATAATTAGGCTTTGTGGGCTTGCCCTATTTATTGTCCTCGCTTGCAAGCACGCTCTGTCATAAACTATAGTCCATGAAGACCTATATTATGTATCCTCGTTACATGAATAGCTATTTTGTATTACTTAGAAAATTCATTATTGAGGTGTTCATATTGCTTTCAATAATATTAATTACTTTTAGATGAGGATTCGGATGTTCTAAAGGCAGTAGTACATGGAGTGGTGCTTGGAGTACCATTTCCTTTCGATTTGCCAAATCCTGATGGATGTACAGACTGCGGAATAACTTGTCCCATTACTGCGGGTCAAACGTACAGCTACCACACGACATTACCTGTTTTAAAAAGTTATCCCAGGGTGAGTCAGTGACACGTGAAGTCATCTTTAGTAAAGCTGAATTAATTTTGCATTATCCTTCAATTAGAGTTATATCAGCATAATACACTTTGTTATTACACACTTAATTTTATTCTTTTTTTGTAGGTCACTGTGGACGTTAAATGGGAACTGCAGGATAAAGACGGAAAAGACGTGGTTTGCGTCACCATCCCATCACAAATTAAATAATGGGTTCAATACTTAACAATAGGTTTATTTTATTATATTTTGTTTTTTATATAAACGTGCAATACTGTTATCAATGAGATTAAAATTAGCAAAATTATAACGTGGTAATTTTATCAATTGAACAAATAAACTCAAACATTTCCGTTTTTATGTGGTTTTGTAATAATGTATCCCGTTTTGACATTTTTTACAATACCAATAAATTAAATGAATTTATCGACTACTCTTCAAGGTGCCTTAATAGTGACTAGGTTAGTGCATACAGTGAGTTTGTAGACAGACCTGTTACAGGGGGAAGCGGAGCCACCACTCATTTGTGACGTAGAAAGTACCTCGCTAGGGTTTTTGAGATCTTGTTGTGAACTACCCTGACTGTGATTACGTCCTGGCTACAAAGGTTTTGTAAACACAATGTCAGTTTCGGCAAAATCGTTCTTATAATGTAATGGGAAAAAGTAACTAGATTTCAAATTACCCGCCTAGGAGGTACTTTCTACGTCATCAACATGTCTCTTCAAGGTCATAATATACCCTAACCTAATCACTATAAAGGGACCTTGACTACTCTTGTTAAAATCTGCCGAATGTACAGAATGAGATAAGGTTTCGTACCTCTACTAGGAGTCAAAACTTTTGACGTGAATATTTCTGTAAAAGTTCTGCTTCTTTGGAAAACAATACTGTTTCTGCAGCTTGAAAAGGGCATGGGTCAGTTGCGCGCATCGGTCAGAAAAATCTCCAGGTGGTCCTAGGGACAGTAGCGCGCAAACTACGTAAGAGGTAAGGGATAGTTGTGCGCGGCGGTCAGAAATATTTGTATATAATTTGAAGAGTTAATACCATAAACAGTTGTTGCCTCTTCTAGTCTTGTAATTATATTTGCTACTTAGCGGATAAGTGTTTGAAAAAGGGTCTCGAACAGGGATGTTTATACATATTTCCAGTAGGGCTTATAATATCTGACTATATCAGCATTTGGAATAGTACATATATTAGCTACATTTTTTAAGTCTTTTAATGGCTGTAGTTTAGTCTTGACTCTTGACATAGACAGAAACTGATGTAACATTTATCAAAACTATTTGAATATATTATTCAGACCTAGCATCATAAGCTGAAGCAAATAACTTAATTTTAGATTCAAATTTCACTGTGGTCGTGTGGTATAGTGTGGTATATGAAAATTTAAGACAATTAAGTCTGTCTAAAACTGGCTTAGTCATTTAAGTATCTTTAATATTTTTAACTGCTTAGTAATCTTAATAATATGCGAATAGATAATTTTTAAATTAGGTAGTCCAACTAAAGCAATTTGGCATAAAGGTGGAAAATTTGGAGACTATGTTACTTAAGCTATTTTTCATTTTGTTCATCATTAATTGTGGTTTGTGTCAGTACAAAGATTGTGGTAAGTCATCATCTTATATACTCGTAGCTTATTTATACTTTTCATTTTTGTATGTAAACAGAATTCATTATGTATATGTGCAATATTTGTTGCTTTAATGAAAAGTCATACGTCACGAACATTTACAGAGATTTCTTTAATCAGGTTCGAAAGAGGGATCGCTTGTTAACGTTTCAATATCCGACTGCGAACCTAACGCCAAGAGATGCATTCTAAAGAAAAAGAAAAGTGTCACAATCACAATAAATTTCACCAGTAAGTACGACTTATGTCGTTTGTGAGTTTTTAATCATAGTTGTATTAGCAGAATTTCGCTTTTAAAGATTTAGTTAGTATACGAATTTCGTTTGAAATTAAATTTACAATTCGAAACATTTATTGCAGTGCAAGCAGTAAATATAAGTATTTTTTATTATTATGATTGAAGACTGGACAACAAGAATTAAATTTCTTGCCTATTTTTTCCAGTGATAAGTTTGAACTGACAACATGTTCTTGGTTGGGTACAAAATTTCTGGAATCGTCAATTACTTTCATTATTTGGAAATATATATTTTTTTAATTTTTATTGTTTAAATATATAGTTATAATGAAGAAATTTACTGACAACATTTTCATTTTTTTGCACTTCTATTTTACCCAGAAATGTATCCAAGATTATTTGAATTGAAACACTTTGTATATTGTTTTGTTTTTGGATGCACAATAAAACACTAAATCATAATGTTTCATATATATGCAGGTGAAATTTTAGAAAAAATATTTTCAAATAACTAAGATAAGTGACTATTCGGGACTTACCAGTATAAGACTATAATGAAGTTTTCTTATTGAAGATGTAGAATCTAAAGTAGTCACAGCGGAAGTATGTGGTTCTCTGGTGTTCTTAAATGTAGTGTGTGCTCCTTTCCCATTACCAGAGTCAAATGGTTGTAACTCTGGAATAAAGTGTCCTGTCACACGAAATCAAATTAATACATACAAGGCATCGATTGATGTTAAATCTGTATATCCCAAGGTATGTTTTTTTTTTAAATAATAAAACAAAAAAAATATTATTAAACCAAATATTATCTCTTACAGGCTGCAGTGAATGTGAAATGGAAGTTGAAAGACGAAAATGGACAAGACATTATTTGTCTAATTATACCGGCAACTATACGTTAATCCTTATTTGCTCCTAGTAAGTGATGGTTAGTACCGAGTTCATAACTTGGACAATGTCGTAGTTTAAAATTAGAAAATATGCTATCAATCTTACTAATAATTACTAATATTAAACATTAATAATAATAAATAACAGTTGTATCTCACAGTCCAATATTAAATCTGGTTGACTTTATTATTAATTTATTTTCAATTTTTTGGGGTAAGTAAAATGATATAGGAGCATTCCAGGAGAAATAGGAACTTGCAACAAATTTTCAAAATAAAATGAAACAACATTTTTACTCATCTAGAGTGCTTATAGTTCGTAAAAATATTGGCAAAAATTGCAGCATATCCCTGCATATGAAGTACCCCGCCGATGGGACTTGTAAATTTCAAAAAATGCTCTAGAATTGACAAACATATAAAAACCATTGAAAAGTCATGTACTTCGTCGTATTTTTTTGTTTGTTTGTTATTGTTTATGTTTAACTTTGTCATTATGGTGTATTCTATGTTTACTAGTTGTTGTTGTTTACTAAATCGTTAATTGTGAATTAGAATTTTTTATTAATTTACTGTTCACACCGGCGGTGACAATTTAAAAATAATTTCTTATGAAAAAACTGTCAAGGACAATAAGTCAAAATAATACTCAAATTAAAGGTGGTATTTCTACTTATTAATATAAAAAATACACACTCTTTGGGTAATTAAGACGGATCAGATATAGCAAAATCTTTTCAATACATTTAGAAAGTGAGAATAAAATCAAATTGCCCAAGATTGTCCAAAAAATTCTAAATTTTTCTAAGATAGCCGCCATTGTGGTCATTTCCGCTTTAGAAAACTAATGTGACTAAGTTTTACACAAAATTATCGTTACCAACGTGACAATGGAATGCTGCTGTATTGTATTTTGTGTATGCGATATTTTTCGTAAAGCTTTCCACAGATTACATCACTATACTGTGAAAAACAGTTAAATTTTTGTATATGATGATAAACTTGAAATCAATATACACTGAGCAACAAATAAAATTTTGATTAGATTTCATAGATTTTCACGAGTTAAGGTCATCTGAATAATATGTTCGACTCATATACTTAGTTTGAATAATTTGTCAATCTCATTGCCATCTCGTACATAAATTTCTTCTTCACCCATTTATAAATACATCACAATTGAGAAGGGGAGGGTGGGCGGGGCTTATATCTTGTCCATATTTTCTTAATATACGAAATTTTCTTTTCCCAACAATAAACTGAAAACATCTTTAAGTATCGTGTTATCGAAACAAAACTCTATATATTAAGAAAAAAAAAAAAAGGTTAAGCAGAACGCACCCGTCTCGATCTCAATTATTATGAATTTGACGCGTCTCACCCCTCTACAAAGCAAGTACACTTCACTACCAACTCTTTCATTAGATACTACCACCCACAAATTCCCCTAGCTACCAACTTCCAGAAAAAAAACTAAACTTACACATGATTGCCTATGTTTAACGATTTGCTTAATTATTTTTTTCCAAATTCAAATTATTCAAATGCGATTTCGAGCCGTTGTTTTTTTTTGCGCGCAACTTTAATTCAAATTTGGTCACCACAAGGTATGTCATATTTTATCAAGGATTTCTTACATGATGTCAAATTAAATTATGAATTAATTCAAGTCATCGATTAAATCAAAAATGTGTTTTCAGATTACATCGTCCCATCGTCGTTGACCGAAAGTCACATCATAGCACACACAAACATTACAAACAAAGCACATGCAATAAACAAAACAAGTACAAGTTAATTAGGGTTAAAATGTAAGTAATAATTTGAGAATAAACATTCCGATTCAATTTATAAGAAATTATTATTTTCGAGTCCACGATGATAATTTTTTTGAATTGATGAAAAATTTCAAGAATAGTTAAAAATCCCAACAGGAATTGTGAATCCACCTATTTCATTATTAAGGAAAATACAGAACGGCATGCGAGGCGGGCTTGACCTTTGACTCAAAACTGGTTATTTTTCCAATGCTTCACCCCTTAATTTTCCCCTACATCTCAGCTAATTAAAACAATAAAACCAAAATCACACTCGTTGAAAACTGTGGCGTCGAATGCGATTCATTCTAAACTAAATAGAACGTATCCCCAATTTTAACATGTTTTCCTACACTTCCGAAACAAGAAGTGGCTAAAAAAAATGCCCTCTTTCCGTATGATTAGAGGTTTTTTTCTATCTGCTCTACATTTCAAACCAAGGGTTTAAATTCCACTAGGGATGCATGGTTGCCTATGCTATCGAATGATTTTTCAAACACGATTTAGAGGAGTTGTTTTTTATTTCTCGGCGTAAAGTTTGATTTTTAAATTTAGGATACCACAATATCAATTAAAAAAAATCAACCCACAACAAAAACGTCGCTATTGACGATAGAGAGATCATTATTTCGTTCATACGGTATTTTTTTAGACAAATAGTTGTTTTACATAACAGTAGAGCCTATTTTTTTTTAAGATAATCCGTATATGCGTAATTAAACACGTGGATGAATTATGGAAATAATTAATCATGAGCGGATTATGTTCAGTCTGGTAGTAAAGTTAATAGAAAAATAAATACACTTTACTATCCACACGTAGAACTGAAAGTACAAGTAGAAAATTAGAGTTTTGGTATATACAGCAAGTCCTCATGATGAGTTTACAACGAAAAAATATGTATGTAATTCTTAAAAAAAAAATGTTGGAAGGACTAAAAATTGTTGATTAGCTTAAATAACTACTTCTGCAATTAAAACGACAGAAGTACAAACACGTGTTTAAATAAACAAGAATAATTACGGTTTTTCATTAAATTATGTGATTAATATTGATTTATTGAAAAATCTGTATTATTTAAAAGTTTCTGTAGTTGAAATACTTGTTTTAAGTCAAGCCAAAATGTTTACTCCTTTGACTTTTTTCTGTAAAATAACATAAAAAAAAAATTCTTGTAAACCCAATCCGGGTCCATACTATAGAGCACATTCTCCGGAAACGGGAAATTCTGTATTTCCATATTTTACAAGAAATCAATGTGAAAATAAAATTATCAAATTAGATAAATGTTCAACGTTATATAAATTGACAGAGGTTCAGATATGGATTTAGTTATTATGGAGTTCAAAAATCTGGCTGGAACTCCCTGAATTTTACTGGACGTTTATTTATATATCTTTAATGCATATGAATTTGTCAGAGAGTACACAGTATTAAATTTATTCGACTTTTGTTGGTCCAAAATAAAAATCACATACAAGCATGGTGTATCACCCCCATGCTTTAATTCAGTTATTCAGGTAGATGAAACGGGATATCTTGCATTTTACAACACAAAAATAAACACATAACATATTTATTGTATGTCATAGGAACGAAACAAATATTTTACAAAAGTATAAAAATAGGATCTTTTATACTAATATATCAATTTACAAGTTCTGTAGAAGTAGGCACTATATTATATACATAGCTGGAAAAATACTTAACACATAATGAATATCATATGATAGAGCTTTAGTACAGAGAAAATAATTCTGCTCTTAATACATGTAGGCGTTTAATGAACTACAGGCTCGTCAACATCCTAACAATTTGATTTTAGTTATTTAAAGTAATGGAAGATTTTTAGAACAAAATAAAAATAACAAAACTAATCTTGTATGTGGACTTTGACTAGTATGTATGAGAATTAAGTAAAAGCGATTAATTTTAAGAAAAAAATAAGCTCAATGGCACACAAGAATAACTTCCAAAGTGACATACATCTGATATGAAAACAAAAAATAAAAATCTAACATAAAATTATACTTAAGTAAAAATCAACAACATAATGTTAGGTACATAACAAAACACATTGCAAATGTGAAATGGTCCTTTCTAAGTAGAAAGACAATAGTCAATAACTCAAAAAAAACTCTCAAAATTAAAATTAAACCGAGATTCTTTTGCTTGAAACATTAAGCAAAAATAGGTATCTAGTTACCATTCTATACATTTAACTTTTCATCATCCACAACTTATATAAATGATTTGAAAAGTCTGGTTGGCAGTTGATTATATGGTTATTATTATCTGAAATTGGACTTGGTGGTGGTTGAATGAGATCATAGTCCACACTTTCACATAGTTGTTCAGATTTACGTTTTTGGCGTCGATTCTCATTTGAAGTCTCACCTTTTTCCAATGTTTGGCGGGCTTTGTAAATAGGCTCGTATTCAATTAATTGTGCTAGAAAACCCTCATTTGGGTGGATGCATCCGCGTCGTCTTTTAACACAATCTATAGCTTCTCTGCAATAAAAATAATTAAAAATAAACTAAGAATGATAAGATTCAAACTTACTTGCTACTCAGTCCATATTTCTCCATGATATACGCTAAAACTAATGTGGCACTCCGTGATATCCCGTTGTTGCCATGCACTAAAACCTTGCCATTTCTTTGAAACGCTTCATCTATGAATTGTTTCACGGTAGGAAAAAACCTGATGATGTTTTCTGTAGCAGTGTCTGCGATGTTTAGTGTTAGGTATGTGATAGAGAGATCGTTGATTTGCGGTTTTATATACTGGGCTTCTATATCTTGTCTTACACAAATAATGTGCGAAATGCCGTGGTCACGTAACGTCTTCAAACAGTGTTTCTGAGCAGAAGAGTATGGTCCAAGAAACAGTCCCGGAATGATTTCTTGCATGTTTCTTCTCATTGTGTACGTCCATTCGCTGCATTGCAACGTTGGAATTTCATGCATAGGCTAAAAACGATTCGCCTTTTAATCACAAGTGGTTTAATTTATTGCTTATTTTTAGAAAAGCTTTCAAGTTTGACTGATTGACAAGTGGGGGTTAGGTTTGATGTCAAGGCGCCAAGTGAGAAAATGTCAAGAATATGAAGAATTATATCTCTAGAGTGTGTTACTACGCACGATTATTCACACGCAGTAATAAAAATGCGTATAAACACGCATCTTCATCCGACAGAAACGAGAAAAAATTACTAACCTCATCTTGTTGAAACTTCACTGAACTGGAATTCACGTCTAACATTTTGTTGTAATTTGCACACCTTCAGGGAGAAATTCTCAGATTTGATAATTTCACCCCCTTTATGACATCTTCGCTATTACTTTACTATTAATTTATCGAATTTTATATTCATAATTTCTACGACAATGGCAATGGAGTAGCTTTAATTGTTCGTGCGAATTCGCATGTCTTCCGACTTCCTTCGGTCCTTTTAATGCGCACTTTTGTGTGTATCGAGCGCCTAATTTAAACTGTTTCTTCAAAATATCAAATGATTTTATTCAAAATAATCCAGTCAATCTAATATTACAAAGTAGAGAACAGTGCATTTTGGGTAGATAGAAATTTTCTCGGTTTTCGTAGAGAGATAGATCGTGAGTATAAAACTGAGTGTTCGGGACTTTACACTAATTTTTACTTGAGTGTAAGCGAAAGAAATATTGTATTCGAGTCCGTCGGCCGACTCTCTACTTTTACGTTTTTTCGACCTATTATGACCTGTACAGTATGAAGAAATAGGTATTTCGTTTCCCTCTGTCTGTCTGTCTGCCGCCTGTCCGAATTTATATTAGACAGATAATCTCCGAAACTACTGGACTGATTGTTATCAAATTTTATATGTATATTAGGACTACCGTGTAGATGGTAAAAAGCTAACCAAACTTTGTCTAATCATCCCCACCAATAATGTGATAACGTCACCTCGAAATTGTACGTAGTAAATTCGTGTTAAATTACATCAAATAACACAGTCCTACACGTGTAATTTATGAATTCGTGTTGAGTTTTTACCCCACACGTCCATATTTTTGGAAAAAAAATCAAAATTAGATAACAACGTTTTGTAATTTAATTTTGAATCTGCAAAAGCGAATTTGTAAACTGGACTCAATTGAATAGGTATTCATTAACAATGCCATTTCAACGTCAATATATATTTGAAAGTTACACCGGGGAAAGAAAAATGTCTTACTTACTTTATTTTGGCTGCCACTGTGTACTTGTTTCAGTTGTACTCTTCTCTTTGGTATGTATGAATTTTGATTTAATTAATAACTTGTGCTAACATAGTTAAATGTTATGTTGTTTATAGTTCTTGATGGAGCGTCCCATAACGAAATGTTGCTTGTTTGCTTTCTAGCAGATTTAGTTAATTAAAAAATTAATTCTCGTGATAAATTTAGGGAATGAGAAAATTAAGCTTAACCGAGGTAAAAGTACAAAGGCGCAAAATGGGGAGTGAGGTGGATGAGCCCGAGATCAAGTTGACGGTTTTCTTTTGTCGTTGTCATTGTTCATGTTTATGTTTATTTGCAATTCCTGGAATGTCCTCATCCGTGTGAGAGGGACAGTCTGACCTTTTGATATAACGTTTTCAGGGGGTTTGGGTTTGGAGTGGTTGGTGGTGAGGGGACCTGTTTCAAACATTTTGTTTATTAAGATTTGTAATTTCATTGTCTCAATACCAATCCCGTTGAAACTTAATAAAGATAATAACAACAACAAGGGCGTTTGAAAGGACAAATAAAGGTAACTTTTAATATCCTTTGTTAATGTTGTTCGTAAACTTATTCCAAGCGTCTTTTCTGGGATAAAATTTAGTATTTTACGGTAATTGACCCGTATACAATTTTTATTTGTTTAGTTACAATCCCCAAAAAAATAAAGTTGGCAGGCGTAATTGTTGACTAAAAACCCGAGAGGCGCTGTTACCGAAAATATAATACATATTAGTACTTGTACAAATGATCTGCAGAAATCTTGTCTGTGGCTGTCGTTCTAAAAGTGGGCCCGTAGAAAACCTTGAGGGTAAAAAAAGTTCCGAATGACCACAGGATTTTTTCAGAGCAAATGTAAAGGGAGAATTAAAATTTTTGTCACATCCACTAACTTTGTAGAGTCACTTAATTTCAAAAACGCTGTGAAGTGGACGTGTAACTAATTAAATTATAATAATATTTCGCATTTTGTAAAATTTAATTACATTATTGGTACATATACTATATACTTATTAGACTAATTCAGTTCACACACTGAAAACCTATAAGCCAAAACGGCGGTTATTGTTTAAAAGATAGTTGTGAAAAGTGTTCTCACTTTCGAAAAAAAAAAAAAAATAATAGTATTCGTCATTCCAGTTATGGAATTTTTTTATAGTTAAAACTTAGACAACATAAATTATTATTAAAACTGTGTCAACAGTTCTAATTCGGTTTTATAATAGTACCCCATTGTGTAAAGTTAACTTCCTTAACAATAGATTACTACTGTCGGTGATGGGACAGTCATAAATAAGGATCTATTGTCAAGAAAGTTATCTTTTACACATCATAAAACCGAATTAGAACTGGGGAAACTATAATCAGAGTTAGGCAAGAGTCGAAGTGATGGGGAATCAATCAGACAAATATTAAATACGACAGCGCGACGTCAGGCGATAAATTTGGTTGGCCGACTGTGCAGTCTCAACCTCAATGGCTTTTGATTCATTTAAGGGTTTATTTGATCAAGATCATCACGAAAATTGTGATGTTAAACAGTCATTTTTAATTTTTAAAGCATTTTAACATCTAGAAAAACTCGTCTAACTGAGGAAAACCTAGAGAAAGTAGTAATTTTTATTAAGAATTCCCGAAGTTGTAGGTCACGAATGCAATAGCGCTGACGATCGGACGGCAATGAGCATCACTTCGGCGATACCGAAGCCTGTTAATAATATACGCTAAACTAAAAATGTCTGAGCATTGTGCTATTCTGGTTTCGCTTCAATAGCATAAAGCAGAATTAATTATTTTTTAATAAGTTTCTATTATTATTATTACTGTTATTTGGATTGTTTACATGCCATTGTAGGTAAGCGGAGAAAAATGTTGTTATTTCGGTGGGAATTGAACCCACGCCTCTCGCATTCCGGGCAAGCATCTAGACCACTAGACTACGAGGCGACTTATCTTTCTTCGCTTACCGACGTATAAAAAAATCGTTATTATTTTCCCAAACGACAGAATACTTTTCAGTAAGCACGACTTAAATAAGCAGTAGCAGCATATTGACGTTAACATCAGCTTTGGATTTGGATAATTGTTTTCGAAGGCTATTTGTCTATAATTATGATTACTTTTTTCGATTAAACTTATTTATTTCAAGGACGACTCATTTGTTACTGAATTAATCCACTGCAAGTTGATCATTTACCAGAATCTCCCAGAAGTTGGAGTGATAAACTGAATCTGCTAAGTCTTCAAGACACGTGTTCACGTGTAGGAAGAAAAATGTGGCTGCTAAATCTTTCTTCGCTTACTACTACTTGTTATTGTGCCGCCACACACGCATTACCTAACCATTGGCAATGTTAGGTTCGCTTCTCATGCGTTGATGACGTGCTTTTGTTGCTGCATCTGTTTAAGGATTCTAGTATAGATTAAGTGAACAAAACATAAGAATCTAAATCCAAATCTGACATCTTCAGCTACATGTAAAAAATAATAATAATCAAATACATAATTATTTTAAAAGAGCTGTACAAAGTGCTAGCAGAGAATGTAAATTAGGAGAACGCGAAATACAACATTTTTTGTTTGTTTGGCGCAATGCGTTCAAATGCAAAGTGGTGAATCTAAATCAAAATGCAAATGGAGAGCAAATTGTTCATTCCTTTATTCTGGAGGGAGAAAAGCTCTTGAAGTAGGCTACATGGAACTTATTTTCCCCTTGTAAAAAAAAAACACCTCTCTTACTTTCCAAAATAAAATCGGATGTCACAAATCGATGCACGTATTTGAACATCATAAATTTAAACACACAAACTCTCATTGAACTATCTAAATAGATAATAAAATACACGTTATTACCATGGTGTGATGGCAAATTTAAATATGAATGGTGAAGCGATGTACGCATTCCTGCGGCTTACTTCCATCCTCGCAAAGGAAGCATCAGTCAGCTAGACGGTCTGGTTCACTGACGGCGAAAATCTGGTATTGAAAATAAACATTCATGCAAATGTGAACAATGGCAAGGAGGAAAGCTCTCGATCTGAATGCGTGGTACATACCAACTTTTCCGTCTCCACTACGTGATGTGGTGTGTTTATTTCGGTTAAACTTAAAATCTCCTAAATTTTGACGATAGCAAAATGAGTATATTGTGCGTGAGAATTTACATCATGCTAAATTATGTATTAATTCAAATTAAAGTAAATTTCAGTTCACATAAAACAAAGTACACATGAAATAAACACAATAGGCACCTGTGTGAAACTATGAAAACTCGTCCGTTTTCGAATCTACTGCCTTTGATTAACTGATAATTTTCAAGGTCATTTCTTTTAAAAATGACTTGATGCGTAAAATTCCTTCAAATACCACGAATGAATTACTATAAACCTCGAGTGAGAAGTTATGAAGTGTGGATTATGTAATAAATTATTATTATTAATAACTTACGCAAAAATATCCAGAACTTTCGATATGTTATTATTAAAATAAGTTGAGTCTGAATAAGCGAATTTCTCGCCATGTACCTACTTTACAAGAACATTTTCGTTGTTGTAGTTAAATTAGAACCATAAACAGTTAAAAATCTTGTCTCATTAACTGCGAATTTGCAAATACAACAAAAACAATGTATGTTGACAAATTCGTCAAAGTTTCATAACATTGTTTACACTCACAACATCAAAGCAAGAAGTGGGCCCAACAGACCCTTTAAATCGTCTACCTATGCAACATTCCAAGCTCCTAAACTACCACCCTAGGGGTGGCCTTCAGCTAAGCTCTCTATTGCGCTAACCTTATGATTGTCTACGTTATTGAATAGTTTTTTATTTTTTAAATGTAGTTTTAAAACGGGACACCACAAGTGGATGGACAGTTAGACACAATGAAGACCAAATCTACGATATCACAGTTTTTATGATACCACCTGCCACCTGCTCTTTTTTTAAATGAGTCACCCATTTATGTAGTCATTTCTCTAAATATTTACCAGGCGTTTATTAATAAGTAATGCTTGCACCCGTTCGGAATTCGTAAATCGTCGGCAGGTATTAGAAATGATTTGGGTGCTTGTCAAAGATTTAAGAATCTCTCATCAGTCTGATATTATGCACATACCAAATTTCTGAGCGACTTCAGATGCCACGCAATGTTAAAAGTTCTTTAATTTTAAGCAAAAGTGTTTGCTTGTTGATTTAATACTAAGTAGTGTACGATGTGTGAAAATTTAAATACAGTAGATTACCTCGACTCGGTCGGTTTTACTCGAATATGTTATGTGTCCAAAGTGACTTTGAAGAAGTTCAAAATATTTTAAAATTATAGGGATTTAAAAAAACTGTTAACAAAAATGTATAGTTAAAACGGGTTGCATTCTGTTCCTAATGCTTTCAATTTCAATTTTTTGTGACAATTTAAAATGCGGTTTTATTTCCAATAAAGGTTTATTTAGTAACTGGACATGTGTGTAGACATGTACAAATTAATTTAGTTCACAGTTTGGTCGAAATAAAGAACAGCCATAAATGTATCAACATACAAATCATATCTGTGAAAAAAGTTTCTGCCAATTTGCAATAAAACTGTTGACTCACATGCATTATTCGGTATCTACTAACTGCAAGAAGCCTTCATTCTTACATCTACATCCTAATTATTCCTACAAAAATATGTTTGAAATTTTCACTTGACAAGGTGTAGTTAAACATTTGGCTAAAATAAAGTGTTCTTTGGATTGAGAGAAAGATTTATTTGAGATCTACAATATAATCAATGGCTGGCTGATTGAAACAGGTAACATTCAAGACATTAAATGTTGAATTCATCTAATTTGTTCTTATAATTATGTTATTTCTCGGTCAGCAAAAACATTTCCACAAACGCAAATTTGGCAAGAACGTTTAAAACAGCAATAAATATCATATCTTTCATAGAAACTAATATCACTTTGTACAAAAAATATCAGTTTGAACAAAAACGAGTGCGTATTGCACGAAATTGATAGCAGAGATGTGCATATAATACTTATGATTAATATTTTCACATTCAACTTGTCACTTTACAATTACATAATTATTAGACTAGAATGTTCAAGCAAAATATATACACATCACTTAAAAATTAATCATAAAAAAATATACAGAGGAACAATATTAACAACCATAAAATAAATTAATATTGCAACTTAAATCTGTGCTATCTTAAGCCTATACTAAATATATTTAAGCTAGGTTTTTAGTTGTTTCTCTTCCGTGTGCTTCTCCAAGACTATTACTTTACGTCGGACATATAACTGTAACAAGAAATCAAAATCCATGTAAGAGAAAAATTATTTGATAGGTAGTTGATTTTACCTTTCAAGATATAATCCGTTAAGAGAGTAGGGACAGTGGGGCTGTCTTCATTTATGGCTTTTAAAACTGGAAGACAAAAGATCATTAGTACATCAACTAAAATTTTTAAATATGATTATTACTTTTAATCAGTACTTGCAAAGTTTGATTATCTGGCGGTCCGCTATCTAAGTGGTACGGAATGACGGTGGTTAAATACTGAAATTAAACCGAATTAGAAACAATAAAGGAAAACTGCAATTGTTTGAATTACTTTAGGGTCGAGTCCACTAGGTGCTTTGGACGCATTTTTTAAACTACGCTTCTTCTCAACATGGTATTGTCTACGTTTATTTTGCACGGCAAGAAGTAAAGAAATAAAAGTATTCTTCAACTCCTTCTCATATTCCAGTTCGTCCCTAAGGGCTAATTCCGAAATAAGAGTTTCAGAAAATTCCCTAATTAGAACTTCCAGTTCCAGAAATAATTCATTTAGCTGCGACAGACTAAGATCCCGCAGTTCTACAAAAAGAAAAATGAACTAGTTAAGAACAGGCATGTGCTTAAATACCACGCACTGTCTTCATAGAGAGGTGAACTTAAAACTTCTTTCGCTTTTTCAAGAGTTTCATTCGTTTCAATTAGAGAGTCTCGAGATCCGGGCGAGCCGTCTAATGAACAAGTTTCTTCCTGCATCATGTCGTCGATCTCTTGGATAACTTCGTCAGCGGTTTTTAACGGCTCCGCATCTTGGTGTAAACCACCTAAGATGAGAGCGTGCATGTCTAAATCACTAGCCACCGCTTCGTCTTCTGAACTTAGTTCTAAGTCGTCGTCGGGTGTTGAAACTTCCTGGAAAGATACAAAGACAAATTTATTAAAAAACATTTAAACTTAAGCTATACAAATTGAGGAAAAGCGATGCAACGTAATTATTAGCTTTGTCCTTCAAAAAGTGTTAAGTTTATTTTTCAACAATAACTACTTTGCATTCATTTATCATATTTTGCATGTATTATCACTTCGTTTTATATATTCATAAGAAATTAAATCATTTCAAAAGCGAAAAACGTTTCACAAACTTCTTTTTTTTTATCATGTTGTTCTGTTTGAGTTGCTCGTATTATTTTATTTTTTGCTTTTTGATTTGTTGTGCAGTTACCACATAACATCATCATTATAGTGAGTGTGTTTACTTCTCAAGCTAGGTATATCAAAACTTACTAACTTTGAAACGATAATGAACTTCACTTAATTTTTTTCATAGAAAAAATGCTAAATAAAATCAAGCAACTAATAATAATATGTGCAGTATTATTACGAGTCACCAGATTTTCATTTCAAATACGGTTAAGTTTAGAATAACGTAACGTCGACGCCATTTTCACATCCAAAGTTTTAGGGTTGAATAATTACACTAGCAAAGGAGAGGTGTAACTTTGGTTGATAAATTAATCACATTTTCGTAAAAGGGCGACACTTCTGTACCTCTCGTCATTCCACGAACCCTCTGTAATTATTTTTGTACAGTTCTCTTGACATGAAAGGTAACAGTTTGAAATGGTCATAATTAGCTGGCTCTGTTTTGTCAGAAGGGGTACAGCGAAACCGCTATCAATTTCCATTTTCCGCTTTTATAAATTATTCAAACAACATTGTTTTTTAATTATTGGAAATAATAAAACGGACATTGGGTTTCACGTCGTCAATTTAATAAGTATTTTAAATACATTACACAAATTACTTAAGTTCAGTTGCTGAGACGTTTATAAAATTAAACGAACATCTTTTTCTTTTAACTATACCTCAGGAATATATTTGTATTGTGTTCTGCCTTTTTTTTATACGTGAGTCAGGTGCTTTCAGTTTTAAAAATCTTTAGAATAAACGGTTTTAAATATTTTGATAATTTTCCAAAATAAGATAACAGAGATTTCATCTTTGGTTCGTTGCATAAGCTATTTACGTACAAATTAAACTTACTTGGTTGAACATTTTTGGGAAAATATTTAATAAGAACCTCGACCATTGAACGGTTTTGATGCAGAATATTGCACCCGTCCGTACAGTTACAACACACGACAACAACATCGTTAGTACATTATTACATCTGTATACGTGTTGTTATTTTTATAATTGCCTTTTTAAATTATGTGCAAGTTAGTTCAGTTGTGTCAATTTACACAAAATCAAATTAATTTTTTTTATTATATTAATTTTCTGGTAATTGAATTAGTATATTTTCACTTTTTGGGAGAAAAAACAACTTAAAAGGTCATCATACAAATTACCCGACAAGAGAATACAAGTCAATAATTGTAAAAGGAAACAATTTCTCAAGAAGTGCTTTACTAAAAAAAAATGCAGTCGTGCAAAAATTCGTGATGTTATAACTGAGCTAGCGCCTCTTCAAAAAGTTTCATTTTCGTGCCTTAGGATATCATTTCATTGTTAATGATACAGCCGTTATTTATGTTACAAGGGGAATAAAAGATTATTGTCATGTAAGTAAGAAATCTGCTCACAGCAAGACATTAGCCGAATTCTGTAACGTAACATAAAATTTAATTGACTTTCGAATCTGTAAAAAATTATTAAATCAATTTAAAAATAAAACTGTTATAAATAAGTAATCATTTTATAATCGTACACTAATAGATATTTTACATTTTTAGACTGAAATAACCTTTTTATGAAAACAGTTTGATGTTATATCGTGAAGCTATAGACAATACTACTTATTACTACCATGTATTAAAACATTTTACAACTTCGTAATCTCTTTCATTTTTTGTAGAATTATTATGCTGATTTTAACACCAACGCTTGAAATATTTCATTAAAGCCAAAGCAAACATGTCTTCCGAGTCTTTAAAATACCTCATTTAGATTCTGGGCTTTGCACAATATTCAAATGCATTTTTTTCACTTGATGACTTCAGAATAAAACGTGGCTAAATTTAAATTCCTTAAATTTTACTAAGATTGTCATGTTTACTTTTGATGTAAATTCCGGCAGGAATGGATAATTAAATGTAATTAAATTATACTAGAATAAAGGAGTTTTTATATTTGTAACTGGTATAAAAGAGAAAGAAACGACAGTCCATTATTCCGAATAATAAATTCTTAGCAAATAACAAGAACTACTACTACAAAATAAAAAAAAGGTACTCATTATAATATTCAGTTTATTACTAATTGTAAACAAGTTAATTGCAAAATCATTACTAAAACTCTAATATTAATTTTTTATTTATTAGATCAAAAATTTGTATATAGGTATTATTTTAAATAGTGATTTATTACTCCGTAAGACACTGAAGCTCAATCCTGACTTCACAAATACAATTAATAAATGTGTGAAATATATTAAAAATTTACCTAAACGAACACAATATGTTTATTTTTTACTAACTGCTTGTTATAATTAATTGCCTTTTCCTATGTTGTGTATTCTCACGGAAGCTGATTTTTAAGGAGTAAGAGAATCTATAACTGGGAACTGAAATTTTAAATTGATGGTAACTTACGGTTAATGATAAATCTATTAATTCAAAAACACAATAGAATGATGATTTAAGAAACACAAAAGATGAAAGTTGTGACCCGTGTTGTTAAAATTTATATATATTTATATAAAATCATAAATATTTATATTTCTTTTTGAATAAATCATTTAGACTAATAACTATTTCTTTCAATGAAACTCACGTTCGCCCGAAATTACAAAAATTTTGTTATTTAACGTCGATTTTCTAATTTTCTATAGTTTGTCAAAAAGTATACGGTAGGAAATAGAAAAATGTCTAAATACATGAACATGTATTGTAAAAAAAAATTGGAGTATATTTTATGCTCGATGGGTAGATTATTATGAATGAATTCGCTATACTTTTACTACTATTATAAAAAATGCAGCAAAGATTGTTTTTTTTTCTTACAGAAAGTGTTAGACTATAAGTTGAAATACTTTATATGAAGTGTGGTGAAAATTATCGTTCTCTAAATAGAAAAGCAAAAAATTAAAAAAAAAAAAGAAAAAGTCACGAAGCCCTTCCTCATGTTTCTAATCTCACGCCTTAGATTCACTAATCGCTAGTATTTTTTCTTTCATAATGACCGTATGGGCTTTACACTAATAACACGAACACGACAAGAATGATTTTCAGTGTTATTCTGTGGAGTGATGAATACGGACAGATTTTTTTTATGTTTGTATATGTATAGCGGGACATTTTTATAACTCTGAACATATGAAAAGAAGTATCCCTACGTTCAGTTTTAAAAAACATACAATGGATGTATGCAACCAAAGTCACATTCAGTCTTCTTCATTAAAAAAACTAAATGTCAACTAATTATTGTCATAAAATATTTTACAAAAATGTAAACAAGTCGATGTCGAGTATAAACACCACAAATGAAATAAAACAAATTATATTTTAGCTGAAAAAAAGAAGTTTAAATACCTTATGTTATGCAGAAAAACATCCAATGTCTTCGGTAACTCACTTGATTTGTACCTAGTAAAACTTTACAACCCCATTAATGGACCATAGAAGACAATTACTGTTAAGTAAGTTTACTATACTTTGGAATTTCTTGTTCTACAAAATCAAGTGCACGTTTTTATGTAATATTAGTTACACACTCCCAATGCATTGATATGTGTTTTTTAAAACTGAACACAGTGATTAGGCCCATACTTATTTCAGATATTTAGAGTTAAAAAAATTGGCACAAGGTTATTTCGACAAAACTTCCTTCAACTGAAGTACAGTTCAACAAATCTTGCTTTTTTGAAAAATTATAAAATTCGATTTTGCGAAATTTTACTTTTTTATGATGATGAAGTTTTCTCGATTATGTGACCGTTTGCACGATACGGGCGCGTATTGGCTTACGCCACGGAGAACCTTGGCCGGCGTTGTTCGTAATTTTTTTGCGAAAATTTGGATGCCTAGGGGAAAAACTCAATGCGGATTCGTACACCACAAATGCGGGAGTATATTACTGCATAACATTCAATTTATTTTAGTGTAGACATTTCTGAGATGGCATCGTCAAATTGTTGGTGGGGCTGATGGGCAAATTTTGGTTAGCGTTTTACCATCTACACGATATTCCTAATATACATACAAAATCTCATAACAATCGGTCTAGTAGTTTTGGAGACAAACATAGAGACGGTTAGACAGACAGGCGTGAGACAGACGAAAATGGAAGGTTCATATTTCGGCAATCCAGGGGTCATGATGAACTCTTCCTTAACTTACGCTCGGGAAGTGAAAATGTCTTAGTATATACTTATGTCTGTACTTAAAGATTTCATTGTGAAAGTATGCTTAAAGTCCCTACCTTTTTCACTTGCGGGGTATTCATTCATATTTTCAAAATGTAATATCTTCGTTAATAGCATCACTCTATATATATAACACATCGGCAGTTTACCATCATTACACTTTTTAAAGTTTTAGTGAAATTTTTCAACACGTATATTTAAAATTCGATATCTCAATTATTTATAGCAATTTCAAAATGTGGTTTTCACCACTATTTTCAGCTTATAAAACTTTATACATTACGTGGAAAACATTGGCAATTTATTTTGTTGAAAATGAGATACAATAAATCAACTTCTTCGACACAAGTTTCTTTCTAGTGTATCTTCCCACAAAAAAAATCGCGAATGTATAGAATTATGTAAGCTGAAAACAGTGGTGAAAATTGTGTTACGAAATTTCCATCAATAATAGAGATATTGATTTTTAAATAAGGTATACACGATGAAAAATTTCACCAAAATGCCAAAAAGAAGATGATGATAAACTTTTAAAACATTCCTGTGTTATACCTACACCGAAATGTGTGGACAGGTTACATTTAAAATTTAATAATAATAACTAAACAAAACTCTAACTGGCCAGGTTGTCAGGTTGGTTTTGGACGTGTTTTTTTCTATTTTGTAAACAAACAAAAAATTTAAATTTGTTGACCGGTCTAATTTTTAATTTATCCGTATATGCAACCAACATTGCATACACTGTTACAATATTCTGATCACTATAAACAAATTGTTTTTTCAAGAGCATTTTCTCCACTTTGTATTAATTGAGAGGAAACAACAAAAGAAAATGCACTCTACAAATACTTCCGACAGCTTTCTTGCAATTTTTTACAATCATATAAAGAAGAAACATTATACATATATAGTTATTATGCATGTCAATAACATTTGTGTCTAAAATGAGACTTTGTGTGTGTACAATCAGAAAAAAAATACACATTCCAAATCAATTTTTTTTTCTGCTGATTATTATGAATCTTCTTTTGGATTTTTTGTAGCCCTATAATTTTTTCAAAATATTTATAATTAGAAAATCATACAGAAATGAGGCATTTACACGAAATAAACCATCATCATGCAGGGATAAAAAATTAAATGGGAAGTGCGTGTCATTCGTTGTCTCATTTTGCTCAACAATGTGGCGATTCGTATCAGAAAAAAAAAAACTGGTTGCATATTTAGAATGAGCAAATCCAATTTAGTACTCTTTTTTTTTCTTAATGTTTTTTTTGTCAGTGTAATTATCAATTTTCTTATGCTTATAGCAGTTCTGTTATGTTATGACATTGAGTTATGACTAAATTTCACAAATAAACTCGTAGTTAGTTGTTAAATATTATAAATTAGAATTAAATTTTATATGTATTATTAACTGTAGTATTTAAATCTACATTTTACGCAAATTACAACCTTTGATACAATATGTTGACAATCTATAATTATCCCTCCATTAAAAATAAAAGCGGGACCATGCTGTGTTTGTAGAATCGATGTTTGTCACCAAATCCACAAAATACATGGTAATTTTTTGCTCAATAGAAAAAAATAGTTATCAATAAAATAGCACGGTGGTATCAAACGATTTTGCACGTGAAATGTGTTCTTTCCTCATTAATACAAATGCACATTCCTTAAACTTGTCAAAAACAACTTGGCCCTGAATTTGTAAATCTCGGACTCGCTGTGAGTGAATTTGGTTGAATAAAAAGTTATAAAAATTACACGTCGAAATTTATACCTATTTACGACAATTTGCTATATTTTGTTTTGGATGGGGTCTACTTTATGAATTGTGTTTGTTATGCGCCAGTTTTTGCGCTACTTGAGAGTGTTGATTATGGAGCTACTTAAGATGTGGCACAAATCAATTTGGAAGAAACTTGTCTGTATGTTATAATGACTGCGAATGACACGTGCTGGGCGTATATCAAACTGGTTATTATTTAACAGAAATATTTTATCTTATTACAACTTTATTTATTTATTTAGTCAGTGAGCAGTTTGACTGTACAAGCCGCTACTAGAAGTACGATGAGGAGATAAAAATTAGCGACAGTTAAAACGAATGGATGTGCTTTATTATAAAGGTCAGAGTATTTGTTTTATACTAGACTATGTTTACATTGAAAATAAATTGGAGCTGCTTGTGTCAAAATGGAAGCAAATATTTTGGTAGTCTTCCGCTTTTTGTTGCATTTTCGCTTGATTGAAGATTAAATAGAGTGAGTCACGTTATCTGAAGAAGCAATTAAACCACGAAACTAAATTAGTTCATGACGCAGTGAGAAAATGTGAAAACGCTGTTAGACGAATGTGACCTTATAAAGCTTCCCTAGTAATTGGCGGAATTATCCAAATGTTGATACTTTAACAGATCATATTACTCATAAGTTAGTCTCTAGACTGTCAAGTAAACTAAACCAGAGTACTATAAACCGCATTTCGCGTTTATTAGTTCTGACTCACATTTCCAACATATCCAAATAAAATCGTGCATAAATGAGAATACCTTTTCATTTAAGTTTAAAGCTGGCATGTGTAGTTTCCTAGCGTACGATTTCGACCAATCGATTGGTAGGATGTTTCCAAAATTTCCCGTTATGGTCCACCACATTCTGTAAAGAGAAAATCAGGTTAATCTTGACCTCATACACGGCAAATCAGTACAAGAAAAATTTTAACCGTGACGTAATCATTTACATACGGCCTTGCTTCGGGCGGACCAAAAGCCTATTTCTGCCCACATATAGCCGTAAAAATGAAAAAGTACAGCTGTCGATTCCAGACACGTAACGTTTGACCACTTTCGGGTTGTCTGGATGATTATGGATGAAGAGTTGCCGGTATAAAAGGCAAGAGTTTCATGCATAGTAAGGACCGTCCAAAAATTGTGACGTTGCGTCATCCGCAGCGAATTTGACGTCTATTAGCAAGTTTATGTTTATTTATTTAAGGCTGTGCATTCTCGCGTAGAGGATGCTATGTTTGTGTTATGGGCTATGAATTACTTCAGTCAACACTCAAGTGATAGAACAAATCGAAGAAGTTTTACAGTTAGAGTAATTTAGCGAAAGCGTCAGCTGTTTTATTAATTGATTGATACCAAGTGTACACAGTGGTGTTTGTGTAGATGGCCTTAATTGAAGGGTCATACCTACAAATTTACCAGTTCCGGAAACAAAAAAAAAAACGAATTCAGTTTTCGGTTTATTCATTTTATGTTACAAGCATTTGTGAGCTTTTTAACACACGAAAGAGTTTATAGGTAAAATACTACTTTAACAAGGCACGTTTAAGGCTTTATTATAATATCGGTAGCTCGGCAGAAAATTTTATAAACTTTTAAAGAGCGCATTTTTAACAGCTGTGTATTTTGTGTTAATAAAAACGGTTATGTCTGTTATAAAAAATGGCAATAAAAGCACTTTACAGGCCTACGCAAGGTCGTGGCAAGGCGTGAAAACCGTAGCGGTTGTGCTGACGACTCCGCAATGAAGATGGATAAGAGGTAATGAATTTTTCACAATTCCTATCCTCTTGTGTGGGAAGGAAACGCAGAAATTTTTGCCATTACCATTTCGGCGGTGTCGGCTTTTGAATTATTTCACCATTAGTCGTCTACCAATGAAATTTTAAAAATAGGAGCAGTTCGCAAAAGAAATTTGCGTGGTATAATTCGTCCAGTTGTTTTGGTTCTTATCCGCTGGTAAATTACTGCTCCCACACGAAACATAAAAGCATTTTTGAGTTTACAGTCTATATCTGGAATACTGTTATAACAATTCTTTGAGATTAAGTGTTACTTCAGACCATATTGATAGAAATAGGTATGTTTTGTCGTGGCCGATTAATATTGTAAGAAGAAATATCCTGCAGTTCTGAATATTTTGTTTATCTGTAGTGTAACCAACGATACATTTTTTTCAGGCGGTCTGTACATTGCCGTTTTATTAGAGAGAACGCTAAACAAAATTTTCCTTCAAAGATTACTAGCGTCACCTCCAAATAATGTTAAATAATTCTCACCACGTTTCATTACGTGTGATTTAATGGTCGATTATTGCTATCAACCTTACGAATGAGGGCTATCTTAGAAAAAGTGACCTTTACATCAACAAAATTTACAGTTAATCCCAGAAATTACACCACAGACTCCTCAGTAATTATGGTAAGCCACTGTCTGTGTTTGTTTAGGGATTAGATGACTCTTAATATTATATTAGTTATAGGCAGAGGTTATAGGTAACACGTTAACTAAAATTCATGTCTAGCAAAACTGATGACATTATGTCAAAACAATTGTTGAGTAAATTTCATTTTACCAGTTCACACTTCTTAAGATTGTGTACTTGGATAACTTCGTACGTTTCAACCATGAAATTTACAGTTTGTCTGGGAAATTACACAACAAACTCGTTCGAAACTCTTTAAGATACAAATATTGATTTAGGGATTAGAGAATTTTAAGCAAAATTTATTCATTCCCCCAAAAACTGTTGATGCAATCTCAAAATAAGTATATTATTACCCAAATTTTTATCAAGACTAAGCTCCGAATTGTGGCACTGCTTGTCGTTAAGTATTAAGCTTTCATTTTTTGTAAATGTGGACACATTATTTAAAAAATAATAATAACAATAAAGTAACGAGCTTATGTTATCAATTATCTCAGAGCTAGTCATCCAATTTTTGTGAAATTAAGGCACCAATACCGGGGTTATGCTGTACACATAAAATGAATATATCGATCTGATTAAGAACTGATCACGTTATTAAAATCAAATTTTTGTTGAAATATATCCCTGATGCATGATAAAGTGCTTGTGTTTCACGGGAGAGGGATATTATTAATAAATCACTGTTGAGACTTTTATCTATAATTACAGAGTGTATAGTAATTTTATCCAATAATAATAACACAAGTACCTACATTTGAATAAGGAGTAACCGATTAATACATGCGAAGTTGATTGATGACAGAGAGCGTGGCAGACAGCAAAAGAAAACACTATAATAAATTAGAACATTTATAGTTTAGACCTCTTAGTAAATGATTAAGTTTTATTTAATTGAACACTGTTTTGTTCATTTAGATTTTTATTATAAAAGATATCTACCTAATTTTTAGAAAAATAAAAGATAAAATTAAAGTTATATAACTTTTCTATTACGTTACAAAGATAATTAGGAGTATTATTTTCGGTGCTTTTTCTGCTTCAGACAAACTGCTACCCGGACAAGAAGAATGGAAAATTCTACAAAATTGGTTAATTTAGGGACGTTATAAAAAATGGTGATTTTCACAACTTTTACAGTTTAAACGAGATTATCATTTCTTTTAATTTGTAGTGGGAAGATTACTTGATTTTCTCAAGGCAGTATACTGGCTCAAGAAAATTAGCGCTTTTATGACTTTGACTTTTCTTTTCCAACCTCCTTATTTGCGAACAAAAAGCATATCAAACTAAAACCGCTGAAGATAAGCCAGATAAGCTTGCCAGCCAAATACAAGAAAGAGCCTCTATTTAAGTTTAGGGCAAATTTTCATCTAATAAGCATTATTTGTTGATAGCAGTAATGCAAGATTCAAAGTCTGTATAACAGAAAATTGATTATTAGTTCAAATAAATATACGTTGGAAATTGCTTTTTAGCAATGACGTAAAGTTGACTATTGTTAACTGAAAAAGTAGTCATAACCATATTTCTATAGTTCTACTGTTGCAAAAACACTTTTCATTTGATTTTATTCGAAAATTTGTCGTGACTCTGAACATTTTTTTAACTTTACAAGCACAGAGGGAGCAATAATCTTCAAAGAAAAGTTAGTGCTGCAATCAATTTCATGATGCCCTTAAATAAAATTATTTTACAGATTCTTCATCGTCTAGTTTATTTTGTGTACGAGTAGTTATTTTTAAAGAATTTTGATAGATTCGTTAGGTTGAAACATCTTGTATATAATAAACGCTTTTATGAATTTTTTAGCAGGGTGTCAAAAACGATTTAGTTATTACAACAAGGATAATGATGCATACGTTCCTAATTTCACAAAAAAATAATACAAAACTTCGTTTTTGAAATACATATCTGTTTTGGATTTTGATCGTTAGAAAAAAGAAACAAATAAGGGATTGATTGAATCAAAAGAAACACAGTATAAATTAATAATGCACGTGGTAAACGTCATTATCTTATTAATACTGGGATGTGTAGCATAGAAAAGACGTTCACGAATGTTTATCGTATGTAGCATTTTTTTTTTAATTTTTAGTGTTACGGATGTTCCTGTTAGTGTTTAGAAGATAGTTTTCAAAATTTAAATTAACTAATAAAATATGCCTTAACAACAAACTAACAAAAACACAAATGTGTGATAAATAAAAAAATAGATCCATTAGCGCTTCAAAATCGGAATGTATTTATTGACATTTAACACATTAATAAATTCATGCACGTGAGTTTTATGTTTCAATTTATGTTAAGTATTTAAAATGTATTTCTACGCGCAGTGAACGTTTACTAAAGCATTGAAACTTTTATGGTTTCAACTTGTTAACATCAACAGAGAAATAGAAATCAATTTTTTCGAAGATTTTTAGTCCTTTTACGAATTCAGTTTTAATTATGATTACTTAATTTTTGCAATAGAACAAGTTGCTTCCAAATTTTCAATCGTTTGATGCACCAAACTTTAATCATTTCAATTTGCTTGACAAATTATCGTTATTGTCGAGACTATAAAAATGAGCTGACAAGCTTTTTACGACGCCAGGATTCATTAAAGAGCTTATTTCAGTCAATAAGAAAATTTAAAATACGGACTTCGGTACTGTTTCAGGTCAAATTTTATTCACAAAAAAACTTGCGTGTATAAAAACGCGGTAGTAGTTGCTAACACGAGATCACGAAACGTGAAATAATTTAATATTTTTTATTAACTGATACATAATTTTTGCATACCTAGAGTACGGTAAAGAAATGAACTTGAAAACTGTCTATTTCGTTGATTTATCCACTTCTTTTTTCGAAGATACTCGATGCATTTGATGTGTTAATGATTAAACTTTTTCGACATTAGTACAATGAGTACGTAGTACAACAAAAAAGTCAGCAAAACGACTGTGAATAATGCATGAAGCTACACAAGGAAGATCGCGTGTGCAGAGAAAACGTAGGCGCCGACCGGAAATTATAGAGTGCAGAGATAAAAAGATGAGGGTGTCAAGAACAAAAACATCCTTTTTCTCTTTTTCAACATACATGACTTGGACGAGATTATATTCTGTCTTTAGCAAAAATCGAGACCACACATAAATAATCCACGCGATTATATAAAACAGCTTCCTCTTTAAAAATTTACCTCCTGTTCCTGTTTATACTATATCAAAAATAGACTCAAGTCCCGGAAAGTACACACAGAACCTCCAATGCAAAAGCAAACTCCTTCAAAGGTCAAAGCGAGTGGTCACACCGAAATTTAAAAAGTTCCACTGCAATGCAGGTAATTTTCTCCTTCACAACTCTGTAAGCATCACTTATTACCTAACCAACCAGGTAGAACAGGCATGTTTTTGAGGACATAAATTACATGCAGACTTCTTCATTTCAATTTTACAGCTACGTTTCGGTTAGGTGGCACAGCTCAATCTTCTTCGATCGCTAAATTCGCCAAAAGCCAACATTTTACAGCCTTGAACGCTACATGCAAATATTCCCAAACTCAACTATTTATATTCTCCTGAAAATCTTTACGGCGGAATGTATTTCGAGATATTTTACGTTGATGAAACACGCAACGCAAGACTCAATTACGGTATTACACGTGAAGCTGCTCCAGAACAGGTTTCGGAACAACAATAATGCTTCTGATGGAATTCTGAATGCCCAGACGTTCTGACCCAATGTTTTGTGATAAAAAAGTCAAAGGAGAGGGGGGAGTTTTAATTCAAGAGCAGCCAGCAGCATTCCGCAGTGCAAGTGCGTTTTTTCTGAAAATTTGTCAGTTTTACTTCTCTTCCGTTTCTAAATCTTCTTTATAACTGCTTTCATTGATCATAAGAAAACATTTTTCAACTATTTCTCCAATTCCTTCCTGAGACCAATCTCGTAATGCATATATCCAGTTCTTAAAAACTTATTGTTTAAACATAAGCAACACCGCATTTCATAAAGAAATGGATATATAATAATGTTTGAGATAACGTCAACTACTTTTGAGTGGAACTGTATATTTCAAGATGTACAACGTAACCTTAATTATCAGATTAGATACTATGTTTTTAGAATTTTTGGGAAAGTAGATTATGAGTTATTTTAGAGATTATCCATCAGTACAACAGTATTTGTTTGGTTTCCTATTTTCGAATATTTTTGACAAAACAACCGTATTTTAATAGTGGTGTTGATGTTTCACTGTTCATTTAGCTTCCCCAAATAGGTGGAGATGTGTGGTGCTATTTATTAGCTGTACAAATTAAAATTTACTACTAAATTGATTACCTAATTTAAACATACTATTTTACCGGACAATGTCGCATCCTCCCTTCCACAAAATAAATTACAATAAAATGGCGTTATTGTTGTATAATTTTCGCTGTTGCCACCCGTACTTCTTTTCCTATGGTACACATATATCTATATCTTACTTGGCATAACATAAAATAACAAAGAAAAATCCACCCACACCTCCTCCCTGAGGATGTTTAAAAACCTATTCTGTTCAAATTAGTCGAAAACAATTTTTTTTGAAGTAGAAAGGGAAGTCTGTCCCTATTTTTACATTGAGAATTTACTTAGGAATATTTTGCTATGATGTCATTCATTTTTTTAAGGAAGTGAATAAACTTGTTATTTGTCGTATTATTCTCAATATTAATCATAAAGTACATTTAAAATGTCATTACAATAACAATTAATAATTGGTATTACTGAAAGGCATACAAGTGGAAATGGAAAATTTACATTTTCATATCCTACGACTTGAAAATATAAATTTAGACATTTATAAAAATGACCCTATTAGTAATCTTTTCCTAGGCTATCGCTATAAAAACACCGTACAAGGCTTTATAGTATGTATATTTTAAAGAATAAAGGAAGAATGATGTAGGGAAGTAAATTATTCCAGCAGTCGAGTCTGACGAGATTTTTACATTATAGGGTACAACACGGAGATTTTTTATTTGTGTAAATTTATTCTGGTTCTGCATAAACAAATTCTTCAGAATCAGTTTTGTGACGGATACATAATTTTTGTTTACGGATGGTATGCCTACGCTATCTACAGGTTAAACAACTCGTTCCTAATATACATTACTAGTTCAAGATGCCCTAAACAAAATAACAAAATATAATTATTTGAAATCAAATGTAGACTTTCCGCAGTAATTTTCAAGAATATAATAATTTCAGTTATTATTCATGAAGATAATATGCCTTGAGTTGTAGGTATCTTTTTTTTAATTTAGTATGAAGCTTTCTACACAGCTTGACATATCAATATTTTGTTGAAAAACACCGATTTTATTTGTATACTTAATTATACCCCTGTGGTGCAATATCTAGGTTCCTCAGTATTCGTAATTTCAGCCTTCACTGAAAAAAGTTGGATGTATAAATAAATGGTCGTATAATGAAGAAAGGAAAATGACCTGCAGACTGTTCTTCTGCAATAAAAAAAAAAACTAATAGTGACGTAAAAATAACATTATTTGAAAAGATCGATTGTCTCCGCTCTCTTGACTTCAGTAAGCTTTAAAGGTCAATATCTTTCGATATAACAAGAGAGGAAATAAGCAGACGGGAACACAACAGAATATTGTTTTCTAGTCATTTCAGAACATGATAATTAACATTTCCAGATTCCCAATTTAAACTTCAAGACGATACATACATCGACACGTTCTGTTTTCATGCCGTCTCTTTACCTTCGCTTTTATTTGGATTGTAGATTCAAGGTAAACAAGGCGACGTGTTGAATTAGGGACTGTCACAATCTTCCAACTTGGACAATACCGACATGTTTCGAGTTCCAGCCCTTCATTCGCAGAGGATGGGTAATAAAAGGAGCTGATCAATACCCACCTAAAACGCACCAGGTACGTATACAAAATCAGTTTTGTCGGGAGTCGGGCTGTTCGTAACAATAGGTCGACTTCCTTTTTCTCGACACGGTCTGCTGGTCGAAGAAGAGGCAGGTGCTAATTTTGGAAGGTAAAGGGATTAAAACCGCAAAACGATTCGTAACAGGTGCAATGCAGAAAGTGTTTTTGCGGGATTAGATGCTTCGTCTTCACGTAATTATTTTAAATTGGTTTCGCCAACAAAACCAAGGGCTTTCTTTATTGGGACAAATAAATCAGAACAATTATGAAATAAAATAAATTATTTTCAAGATGTTCCAGTTAAACTTTTTCCTAAAAAAAAACACACATTGACTATTTCTAACTTATTTTAATTTCAGAGAAAATTATTTTTACGATAAAAGTGTACTCCCAAGGTTTCGTTTGCCTTGCTACACAGTTTATACATTTTTTTCCACTACTTTTTCTATGTTTTTTTAAAAAACACTTTATCACTGGCTAATACAAACACCAATAAGATAAAGATTATAATATGAATTCTTCGCAAGCAAAACACATACATATTAATAATTTTCGGTTGAATTGTCAGTTTATTCGGAGGCGTTGCACGTGATTAAACAACCATTTTGCGTTTTACGAACTCTTTAGAACAACATTCATGGTTAGCATCAAGAGAGAAAGTCGGAGGCGGTTATTTTCGCTGAAATCGTAATTTCATTAAATTTATCGTCATGTAGCTAATTATTATTTATAGATTTCAGTAGGTGTACTATAATATGATTCTTTTTGTTATAGTTGGCAAGCCAATGTCCTGAAGAAGCCAGACTATCATAAAAATCTAAATCCGTGAAAATTGCACAAGCATATTCACTTTCGTTTTCTTCAAATTACAAGACGAAGGTGCTTTAATTATTACGTAAGGTACAGCTGAGATTTCCATGTATGGTTACACGCACAACCGGTCTTTTATATTGAATAAGTTTCATACCCAGCTGTCGCACAATATTGACCATTTTCTTTATCACGTTCGACATATGGCAAGGACGAAGGACCTACAGCAACATTTGTGCCGCAAAAATAAACTCTGTCGTCATACACTGACTAATTCTTTTTTGATCTTGAACGCTACAAATGTAGCGGGTAAAATATGTTTGCAATTATATAAGCAAATACGTAACCTGTAGTATTTATTGCGAGATTTCTACAAACTAAACGAAAACGTTGTCCTCGATTTGGAATTTTCTTACGTCCAAATCAACTGGGAGATCAAATTTGTAGGGTGTTAACACATCTAAACTTCTGAGACTGTCCTGGTATCCGGTGGTAGCTACGTAACTCCATGGGTAGTAAAAAGTCTCAATAATATTTCCACAGTGGAAAATTAGATTCAACCAGGTCACAAGTCTTTTAGCATTTAAAGCTGCGCACACGAAGGCTTTAAAATGCGAATCGTGACTTCTTTTATAACGCGAATGTGTGGAAGTGATCTCTTCAATAACGCAAAGTAAGTTCTTTTTGCTGCTTTTAGGAGAAACACCTGCAATGGCAAGATTGAAACTCCGCGATAATGTCTGAATCGTCGATGAGTTGTATGCATCACCTTTTTTAAAATGGTAATAATACATTATAATATCCCAGCCATGCGATGTCGATGATGGTTCAGAAAAATACTCAAAAAACGACAACATATATTGCGACCTCATGCCATGTTGGATTAAATCTCTAATCCTTGTAGCTAAACACTTCCGAACTGTCGCGGTAATTTTTTTTGGGTCTTCGTTACAACGCAGCATTCTTTTCAGATCGATGATGGCAAGTTCGAGCTTTGCTCGTAAATCACCCCAGTGATTGGTTTTTTCCGTGTTCTTGGTGAAACAATTAGAACCCCAAGTAAAATGAAGCAAAGCGAGCATCTGCAGAAACGAGAAGCTCCGGTCGAAAATTTCGAAAACATAATTTTTACAGCTTTTCTTATTCTGTTTACAAGCACATTTGCCACTTAATTTCTTTAAATATTGAATAAACCGTTCCAAATCTGCGACTTGCGCCCGCAGTTGTTGCTCCAAATTTTCCTTCATCCGCAAATTATCCAATAACTGTGTCCACGTCATATCCGCTCGTCTCGTCTGCATATCAAACTCCCTTAATTGTTTCAACTGGGATTTCAGCTTCTCTAGTAGTATCCTTTGTTGTTGGCGTCTGTTTTTCACCACTTCCATTAAATTTTCATCAACCCTATCATTATCGTTTAAAAAATGTACATCCGCGAACGCAAATTCCTCCAACGACTTTACTAAATTTTCTTGTTCTTCGAACGGGGCACTGACGACTTGCTGCAACCGAAACTGCACTTGTGCGAAATGTGTAGTCAGCGCAAACAGAGACGTTTGTAAAAAATCTTTTTCTTCTTCTAAGCAAACGCATTTGGTACAATCACTCTTGAAAGGGGTAATTTCGTCACTTTTGTCATCCGAAGCACCGAGAGGTTCTAATCTTTCACCTTTTGGAAGCATGTCAGTTGAAATTTTGACGGAAGTCACGCATTTGACGATTCAAAATATTCCTATCATGAAATAAAACGCGCTTAAAGTAAATCAACGACCTAACGACTTAACGTAGTGACAATTTACTGCATAGCATTACGATGATGTCAAAGTGACAGTGACAGTATTGACCATTGTTAAACAGGTGGGATTAGATTTTAGTGGTTTAATTAGGTTCATTTGGCGCAACTACTCAACCCTAACATCGTATAAAGCTAGTTATAGTTGAAATAAGTCACGCGATGTGCCCACGAACTGGCGACTCTTACACGAAATGCAGGACTGGTGGTTTGGTCAATCGATACCAGGAAGAGAAATTTGACGTGGCCATCATGGGAATAGAGCCAATAAATTTAAAATAAACTCAGGAGTTTGGTCGCAAGTTTGCAATATTTTAGAAGTGAATGCACATATTGCCGATCGATAAGGGATTTATGAATTTGTGATGCCTTTTGGAACAGCTGTGTCAAAAATTCAAAATCAATAAGTCATCGTCAGTAATAAGTTTCGAAGGCCAGCGTTAATTGACAGTTAAGAGACCAATCAATCGGGGCTTACGTCTGATACTTGAGTCTAATACTTTGCAATAGTTACTTGTTTCACAAGCTGAGAACTAGGCTTTTGCGAATACGAGTGATTTTGTGGAGCCGAGCCGTTAGGCGAGGCCTGCAAATAACGAGTATTCGAACAAATATGGTCTGCGCGAGTGATCGACACAATTTTTATGTCGATTTTTATACAGTGGCGGACAAATCAGTTCGGAGATCATTCTTTCACACTAACGTGTGAAGTTTAAAAGATTTGTTACGTCGAATGCAGTTAGCATGCTCGCCTTTACAGGATCCAAAAATATTTTCTTGTATACAGATGCTCTTCAAAATGATTACTTTGAAAACCTCTTTGAATTCGCAAAATAATTACTTGAGGGCCTAGTACTTAAAGGTATCACAGCAACACTACTTTTAAACCTTGAGACAATGGTTTAAAGCTCCCATTAGTTAAAGGATTATGAAACAAGCCGAATTAGGGTCGATTTCATAATGTGCATTAAGAAACCAATGGTATATAAGCATATTATTTTCCTCAGACTGACAGAATTTACTTGGCGAAATTTTGATACGATGTGATCAAATCTTTGCCGGGGATGTACTTGCGCGATAGTCTAAAATACAACGAACATTTTCTAAGAATCAGTCCAGTAGTTTACTGAGATGATCTGTCTAATAAAACCGCTAATGGACGATAGACGGCAGATATAAGAAACGCCAATCTATTTTTGGAGTTTTAACTCCTTTCTTTTCGTATTATAGAACACGTATACGAATACGACGCGCGCCGGAATAGGATGTCGAGCTGCGAGCTCGAACTCGGTGTCGGTGTCGAGGACACCGGTCTGAACTGAGTCTGAACATCGGCATGTAACGTCGCGCTATATTTTTATACAATATTATTACATCAATTAGATATTTCTATATGATAAATAAATAAAAAAAGGATATTTTATAATAAACAACAATTGACAATACATGAATATTTACTTTAATTAACCCAATCATCATTATTAATTATTATCATTTCGTCAAAAAATACAAATGCAACACATTTTTGGTTTTTATTATTTTTTAAGAGAAAATTAATGACTTCGTTGCGTATACGTGTTTATAAATTGACAACGCAGAGTTAAAACTCCATACGTGTGTCCCTGGGTCGACGAACTCTTTTTTTATAGTTTAGGGGTTATGAAATATCAAGAGACCTAAATTTAGTTTATGCTTTGTAAATATAAAAAGTACCCCATTTGTAAGTATCTATTTGTGTTTCCTGTGCGTCACACGCGTTAGTAAAATATATCAAAACAAAGAAATACTAAGAAAATTAACATTATCATTAATATTGGAATGGGCATTTTGTATCAAAATCCATTAAATTTAATTGAATAAAAAAAAATTTCCTGGTAAAGTTTGATAAACTGTTGGCTATGTTTTCAGAAATTTTGTTTTTCAGTCTTACAGTTTTAAAAATTTATGGTTAAAACAAGCGTGATTTACGATAAAAATCATGAAGTTTAACTTAATTTTTTACGTGTTTCACTATCTATTTCCAAGCGCCATTTCGATCTAAAACGAAAAAACATTTTGTAACCTCCACTGTGGAGCAAAAATAAAAATTTATCTTCCACAATTGTGGATAAATTTATCAAAATTTTTTCCGTAGAGGTAATTTTTTTGAGAAAGATAGCATACATGACGCATTGTTATCAAGTAATACAATAAATAATCTTTTAGTATAACCTAATGATGACGTTAATTACTTTCCTATGGACATCAAAAGTTTCATCGTTTTACTGGAAAATAGCATACCATGATAAAAACAAGCGGCCTCAATAATTGATTTTCTATGAGTGATAAATCCTTAATAAACAACATTTCTTTGCCATTGGGATTTCAATTTCCATTTGCTTCAGCTAAGCACATCAGGAGAAAATTCCTCGGTGATTCCCAAGCGAAAAGAGTTATCCAACAATACGTATAGCTATTTGGATTCGAAGCCGTCTTTTACCAGTAAGACAGAGAAAATATGCGACTAACGTTTTACTCACAATGACGACAAAATAAACCATGAGTGAAATAAAGGGGGCTATTATAGTTGGCAATTGATGCATAATGCCAGGGTATTGTTGGCGTTCTTACGACAATATCTTCCTTGTTAATGAGTGTCGTTTCTTTCCAGCAATGCACTTGTCTATGCTGATTGTTTCAGGCGATAGAATTAACTACGACTTTCTTGTACTAAAAGTGATTAATTTTAAAACTCATTTACATACAAGGTACAAAAATTAAAAATTTGTTATGGATAATTAGTGTTAGCGAAAGTATTAAACTGTAATCGCACAAATTGGTTACGTTTCATTATGGTGTTATGTATTAAGATGAGACGACAAGTAAAAGTTAGCCATAAGCTTTCTACTTTAATTTAAAACATTGGGATACTTGCATTTTTCAAATATCAAATGCTATTTATAAAATGTGCAGCAATGGATTAATAGTACATGTGATAAAGAAATTAAAGTGGGTGTTGAACGTTTACAATTGCACTTAATCTAGCAATGCTAAAGCCATTCCAAATCTGATAACCCAACTGAGTAATCAACAAAACAATAACCTGCATAAAATGAAAGGATAAGGCTGTTATCAATGTTACTTTTTAGTAGTACTTATGTTAGTACCTGTTGCTATTTCGTTTAAATGAACTAACTACCAGTAACATTGCAGACCCTCCTGGCAAATTTGTTTCTAGTAACATTCAGGATACACCGTGATTTACATAACAGACAAAGCTATGTGTAAATAAAATGCAAATGGATTAAAAAAATCAGTTAATATCATACTGTTAGGTACGATGACCTGGTAGACAAACGTTTTTCAAGCTAATACATGCAAAGTTGTTTACTTGCCAGAAAAAGCTCAATGCATCAGTTGTATTAATATCGATTCGAAAGAGTTCTCACAGCGTTAATAAATTATGAAACAAACAAATAATAATTTTATTACAGTGCAACGGAGTGAATCGATCTGGGCTTTCATTGGCTTTCGATTTTGGTCCACTATAATTTTACGACTAATAAAAGCAGAGTTAGACTTGCTTTCTCAACCACCTAGAGTTCAAACCTTGGTGGACAAGCAATCAAGTGTGGATGTACTGAACGGACACATACTGCTGCTTAACAACATTATTCAATAAGTTTATGGTCAAATACTTCGAAAATAACAATTTATTCAAGGGAGACAAAATTGCATGGAAGTATTTTACCATAGTCATAAAGTCAGTTTAGTGCTTTATACTATTTGGGTCAGAAACAATAAATGAGGCCATATGCTGCCTATTAATGTTTATTGTTCATTAATGCTTCTACTAAATCCTGCATTTAGCAGGTGACACTGGAATTATTAATAAGTTCTTATCACTGATTGCATTAAAATAAAATTCTAAAATCCAGTTAAGGTGAGTAAATTTTTATTAGAATATTTCTTATTTATTAAATGTTTTATTTTTACCCAAAATGTGAAACAAACTTGTTCCACCGTATGCGGCAATTGTGATTTACAAAAATTTATTACCCTAGAAAACAGGAAACATTAAATGTCGCCTACAGTAATGGGACTAAAATTACACGTGCTTGTTGAAAGATGAAAGCAACCGAAAAGCTAATAAAGATAATTTCTCCATTAACGTTGTCTCCCGCATAGTTGACTACTTCGGAAAAAAGTGTTCCTCGAATGAGACGATGTCTTGTTTTCTTACAAAATAACCAAACGTTGCAACTGACGTGATTCTTAAAAAAAAGTGATTTACGAACGATGTTTTGTTACAGTTCTGACAAAATAGGTGACGTATGAAACAAGCTGAATGTTAACAACTTTGTGGTTTGCGGTTGACGATTTTGTTCAAGACTGCCAACATTCGTGAACTTGGAAATACGCAAATTGTTTACCTAGGTTATGCACTCTTATTTTATCATCTGTATACTGAATTATTTACGAGTAGATTCTGTTGAATCAAAAAGGCAATATTTGTTTGATCAAAAAAAAAAAAAGGTGTAGGATAACTACGAGTCTTGTTTTCTGCTATTACGTTTTGCGTTGTTAAAAGGCGGTGTTAATAGCGGTTCTCTAGAAATTCTTCAATAGTTATCATTGTTATCACAGACCAGTACGCACAGGGATTAAGATACTGTTTCCTTTGGGAGTTATTTTCGCGCTGGCTGTGTTACACACACTCTGCACTGTGCACAGTAAGCACTTAACAAAGATTGCATCCTGTTGTACTGTTTATCCAACATAATACCACCACAATTTATTATTATTAGTATAATATAATATATACTTACATTCCGATAAATAAAATTAAGGAATAATATTCTGGCGGTCATATTACTTATTATGTTTAATTAAAATCACCTTTCTGTCGATCAGTAGAAACATCATTTATGGACACAAATATGTAATTAAACGAGTTAATGAAAACAACGCATGCCGACATACAAACAGCAAAATTTACAACATACGTATTTACGACTATCTGCGCCCAAGATATTCAACACAATAGGGAGATTTTACTTTGTTTGGTGCCGTACGTGGGTGTACTTAACGACTAAAAAATAAACTAGATAAGGAAGTAAATATACTGCATTTGAAGGTCTGTGTTCATACTTCT